ACTAGCATAGTGCTGCTGATGTCAAGGTTGCAGGTTTGATCCCCGTATGGGACAACTGCATATTCCTGCATTGCAGGGGGGTGGACTAGAATTCAGTGTTCCCCAACCTTGGGCCGCCAGCTGTTTTTGGACTACAATTCCCATCATCCTTGACCACTGGTCTTGCTAGCGAGGGATGATGGGAGTTGTAGTCCAAAAACAGCTGGAGGCCCAAGGTTGGGGAACACTGGACTAGATGATCCTCAGGGTCCCCTTCCAACTCTATGATATAGATGGAGACAATTTATTTTTCCGTAATTGGGCAAAACGTACTTTGGCAGCTATGGCACATTGAACTTCAGGCTTAAGACAACATTTAAAATTGCTCAGACATCTTGCTTTCTTATTTTTTTAAAAATGCCCAAGACTTTAAAATTTTGCCAGCCTTAATGAATAGGTGAAGAATCTATCCACACAACACTGGCATAAAAACCCTGCACGTAAATGAATGAAAGTTTTCTATTCCCCTTTTTTCTCCCCTATTCTCTCTCCCCACGTCTCTTCTGCCCCAACATCATGCAGCCTATAACAGGAGTGTCTCCTATTGAATGTACAGTGGTACCTCGGGTTACAGACGCTTCAGGTTACAGACTCCGCTAACCCAGAAATAGTACCTCGGGTTAAGAACTTTGCTTCAGGATGAGAACAGAAATTGCGTGGTGGCAGCAGGAGGCCCCATTAGCTAAAGTGGTACCTTAGGTTAAGTTTCAGGTTAAGAACGGACCTCCAGAACAAATTAAGTTCTTAACCCGAGGTACAACTGTAACTGATCTGTAGAAAGGACTCTATGAATTGAAAACAGAGGCGTCCTGTGTACTTTTGTACACTGTTATGTACTGAGCTTGGATCCTAGAACAACAGGCAGGTAGGATCCTAGAATGCAGCAACCTGACTGGTCTGTGGGTGCCGCCCAATCCGGCTCCAGGAGGAAGTGACTCAGCCTATTACTAGAACAATAGGAAGAAGGCAGCAACCTGATTGGCCTGAAGGAGCAGCCCAATCAAGCTCCAGGAGGGGAGTTGAATCAGCCAATCACATGGGACCCATTGTGTAAATACTGTATATACTGCCAGAGGTTTGGGGGGGGGATTCATTCGCTGTTTACTATGAGCTGAAGTAAAGAGCAGGAAACCAATAATCTACTCCAAGTATATTTCATACACACAACTTCTTACTGCTGTATGGCTGGAACATGTCCCACTGAACAAAGGTAAGAGTCTCATCCCTTTTGTGTGTAAGGGAATGTGACTCTCTGGCTGAAAAACGTTCTCCCATTCCTGCAGTATAGGTTTGACTAATGCTGATATTCCCAGCACACGTGCCTCTCTGGTTTTGGAGCAGGAATCTCCCAAGGAAGCCTATAGACCGCTGTCCTCAACTTTATCACTCCCTGGTTATGTACTGATTCTGGATTTGGGGGAGCCAGGGGTGCCAACTTGAATGAAATAGGGGGGGAAGTAAGCCCCATCCTGCATAATTGATCACAAGATGCAGTGCACACACACCATTTAGGATCCCACAGCTAATTCCCCCCTGGTCTCCACGCTGGCCCAAATAGGACTAATTTACCCAGCTAGCCCTGGTGATCATCTAATGTTTATTGGATGGATTTCCCCCCTAAATTGATTTTTGAATTCTGAATTTATTGTTATTCACGTTTTATACTGTATTTTATGCTGTTTTTTGTTGCATCAATTAAGTGTTTTAAATTTGTTGTTAGCCGCTCTGAGCCCGGTTTTCTGAACTGGGAAGGGTGGGGTATAAATAAAAATTTATTGTTGTTGTTGTTGTTGTTATTTGAATGGCAATGCCCATCAACTTTATGGAGGGTGTCCCCCTCCAAATATTTTTATGGAGGGGAGTCAAAGGATTTCGACCCCTAGGAGTTGGCTCCTATGGGGGAAGCATCCATTTCTTCTTTTTCTTCCAGAATTAAAATCCACCATAATGTCTAATCATCTCAGGGTCATGGGTTCGAAACCCACACAGGGAAAAAGACTACTGCATCACAAAGGGTTGGACTAGATGACCCACGAGGTTCCTTCCAACTCAACAACTCTATGATCTATGATATCACGTATCCGCTCCTTAACCTAGTACAGTGCAAATGCACGAACAATTAAGTGTACGTCAATACATTTTACAGGGAGGAATTCAGCTAACTCTATTTATAACGCAGATGGGCACAAACACTAGTCCTTTTGAGTACATTTGCAGAGACTGTGCAGCCCAGACAAAAGGGTTTTCGGAGCAAAAAGGAAACTCCTTGGACGAAAAGACTCTGTTCTTTCCAGATGTTTAACACATTGAGTGTCTGCTGCCACGTCGGATGGAGTCTGGCTGTACACTTTCCCACTTGCTGCAGAAACAATTTTTTCCGCTGCTCAGTGACACTAAAAGACATCTTGTATCTGAGACTTTTCACATGCAAAGTTTCCAGTCTAGCATGTGTTAGGACTGAGAAAAGGCACTCGTGATGGAGGCTGCAGGAATGGAAGATTTTCATTATATTTCATAGTTGCAGTCCTTCTGCCGCCCATTACCCACTTCTGATCCTGTGCTCACTCTACTCCAGCTACTGATGCAGGAATATATATATATATATATATATATATATTTACAGGAAGATACCAATTTTCACTTTCAGAAATGACTTGTGACCCCCAAATGCAGCCACCCTTCAAAATCTCCACTTCCGAAATCTGACTTTTGTGATGCACGTCTCCTAGCAAATCCATAAAAATGTGTATGTTATGGGAAATAGTGTCTAGAAATGCATATATCCCTGAAAATAAAATAGTATTCTACCAAGGAAAATGTGGGGGGGGGCACAAAAATGCTGGTGAACTTTCGTGAGGACCTTTTAAAATACAGTGGTACCTCAGGTTACATACGCTTCAGGTTAGACGCTTCAGGTTACAGACTCCGCTAACCCAAAAATAGTACCTCGGGTTAAGAACTTTGCTTCAGGATGAGAACAGAAATCGTGCTCTGGCGGCGCGGCAGCAGCGGGAGGCCCCATTAGCTAAAGTGGTGCTTCAGGTTAAGAACAGTCTCAGGTTAAGAACAGACCTCCGGAATGAATTAAGCACTTAACCGAGGTACCACTGTAATAATAATCACAAACTGATGTGGAAATGTGGAGAACTTAAATGATTAGAAAAATGAGAAACTGCGACAGATTTATCTGTTCCTACATCCAGTCATCTTTCTCCTTAATCTTCCTCTATGCCACGGGTGTCAAACACAAGGCCCGCGGGCCGAATCCGGCCCACCAGACCTCGTCATGTGGCCCGTGTAGCCGCCAGCGGCCGCCAGCCTTCACCTTTTATTCTCACTTTTGTTTTTGACACAGGAAAGCCACCTCTTCAGCGCATGGGCTGCAGCCTACAAGCCAGAGAACGTCTGCCCTCTAGCGGCGCCGGCCGTTCTACACAGGAAACCTCCACTTTACATGCATTCAGGAAACCTCCACTTGTTTTTATATTGAGCGCATATGAGTCCTATAGATACAACCGGCCCTTTGAGGGTGACCAAACTGCTGATGCGGCCCCCGATGAATTTGAGTTTGACACCCCTGCTCTATGCCATGAAAGAAGTGGTAATTTTGATATATTTAGTATTTTGACTTTCGTGTGTTTTAAAATACAGCTGTGAATTTTTCTGAGTTTTACTGTTTTGTCTTCTTGTAACCCACTTTGTGTGTGTGTGTGTGTGTAATCAAGCAGCATATAAATTTCTCCAGCTAAATCATACTCAGAGTAGAACTAATGATATAAATGGGCTTAAGTTATGACTAATCTGGGATATTGGCCACAGTTCCTGCTAACAATCAAGTGATTGCGTAAGCAAGAAAACAGATCCTGCTCTCCCTAAACAAGAAAGCCAGGTTACCCACCACTGTGATGGTAGCAAATTACACGCAGGTTGTTGGCATCTGTCTGTCTTGAGAGACAATGAAGTGCACCTCCGGGTGTGAAGTTAAACTGGTAGAGAATCACAGCGTCTGCCGTGGCTGCAGAGACTGGTACCTTGTAACTGTTACCTCCTGCATTGTTTTTGCTGCACTTGCAGCACCCAAGTGACCTCTCTGGGGTGCAAGCCTAGGCAGTGTGTATGGAGGGACTGGGCTACCCAGACGAAAATAACCTGCTCTCTGCCTTGCTGGTGTGGTCCAAAGGAAAGCCGAGCAATACGTTTGGCTGGAGTTGCCAGAAGGAGGCATACATGGCGCCATCCAGTTGTCAGGGACTGCACTCCGGAATTGTGTAGGGTTTACTCCTTAGCCTTTTCTTCTCCCAAAGATGTCCAGCAAGGCAGAGGGTACATATTTTTCCCATAGCCTTTTCTTCTCCAGAAGATATATCCCACAAGGCAGCAGAGGTTGAGGATCAGAGTTTTCCTTCTCCTAGATGGGATACCTTCCCAGGTTAATGAGCCCCATCTGCCCCGCATTTCTCTCTACAGAATGTGCAGAAACTGCCTTCTTGACCATTGGACCCACTATTGGTCTTGTCCGCTCAATTCACCTGTCTTTGCATGCAGGGGAAGTCCCTAACTCATGGAGGGTTTGAGACCCATCAGCTACCCTCACCTGGTTTAGCCGGCCAGCCAAAGCCATTTCAGAGGGTGTGTCCGCTGTCTCATGCTGACAGCATCTAAGAGCCACAGGTGAGAGCTAAGTAGCAGGGTGGTGCCCAAGGGTGGACAAGCTACCCCTGAAGGAGCACAATGTGTTCCCCACCAGAGGTACTACCCCTCTGTTAACACCCCATACCCACAGAGAAAGTCAGGAAATCCCCCCCACAAAAAATTTTGCTCAAACGTGGGTTGTGTGACTCAACACTGCCCAGAGAGTGGGGGAAGAGAAGCAACAGGAACATATGCTATATTACTTTATTATTATTATTAAGATTTCCACAAAACAGAAGTTTCAAACAAAAAAAAACATTTTTTTAAAAAAAGAAAGACATTGGGAACAATGTTAATATTCCTTCCTGCTGGGAAACATTCAATCAAACCACAGCAAGTTGTTTTATACTTCAGAAAATAATGATGTGAAAAGCAAGCCCTATCATTTTGCATAATTATATAAAATAACAGCGTGGTGGCTTAGCACTCTGTATGAACCCTATCAGTGCTCCCAACTTCAATGATTTTTTTAAAAAAAAACCACCATCTGTTTTATTCATATATCTCGGGGGCAAAAATCCTAAACAAATTGGTGGTACCTTTTGGAAGATAAGAGACATAATTTTATGGATATAAGCGAGTACCTGGGCATTTTAAACAATGAAATAATATTCATGTTCTGTCAATACTCAGAAAAAGTGTGCCCATTTTAGCCGTATATCTTTGAAAAGTAAGTGCTTCAGAAATCTTTGTGAAGGAAATTTTATGATGCACAATAAAAAATACCCTCCACCACTCCTTGAGTGATTCCTTTTTATTTTCTTTCCAGAAGAGAGAAATAGCCTTATTGGTTTCCTTTCCCGGGGCTGAAATTAGCCCCAAAGGGGCCAATTAAAGCACATTTCCTATTATCTGAGTCTATCTGGCACAATGGTAAAACAAGTGTGGTACCAGCAAACAGATTTCTTTTCTGTGAATAAATATGCATGTACCTGATATGCCATCTCAGAAGAAAAGCAGCTTATTCCCAACTCACACCTCCTTCTCCCTGTTGCCTCACTGCCTGAGGAAAACAGGCACATATCACTCTTCAGTGGGTAAGATTCCCTTCCAAATCAGATCCCCAAATGCAAGCAGTCAGGTATGGATATACCAAGAACACAGGAAGCTGCATTATAACCCAGTCAGGGCACTGGTCCATGCCGTTCAGTATTGTCTAAACTTCCTGGCAGTAGCTCTCCAGGGTTTCAGACAGAGGCTTTTCCAGTCTCACCTGAGATGGCAAGGATTGAACAGGGGACCTTCTGCATGCAAAGCAGATGCTCTCCTTCTGCCTCCCCCTTTCTTCCAAACCTTTTCCCTTAGGATGACATCCTAGATGTTAAGTTATGTTGACTCATTTTAAAGATAAAGAAGGCTCAATTGGCAACGCCGACCAAGCTGGAATTGTAGAGATCGATGCTTAAGGCATCGCGATTAAGCCAATAATGGCATCCAGGTATTTAGTGAAAATATTAGAAAAGAAGCTACAACATAGTGGGATTATAATTATGTTGTGCTGGAAAGTGCTGTTGCAAAGTAAGGTGTGCAAAATGCCTCTAACATTTCTAGAAATGGACTGCTAAACTAAAACTTTGCGTGCTACAGTCTGAAATGAGCTACCAGACAGCCTAATTTCAGAAAGTCAGGCATTGTTCCGTTATTTGAAATATGTTCTTCTGATTTTCATTGAAACCGATCTAATTTTGACTGGTTTGTCATTCACTGTCCAGGTTTCCCACCGAATCCCTGTTGCCAGCATCCTCCTTGTGACCCGGTGAACACCATTGAGATTTGCAAGACCGCACTGGCTGAACCACCAGCCTGTTTTCTCACTAAAGTTACTGCAGCTCTTCACGGGCTGCTCCTGGAGAGAGCAGGCTGGATTGCAGCCATCATTGTCCATATCAAATGTACTAAAAGGTGATGTGTTCTGGTTGTCTTGTTTTCTGTATCCCCGAAATGCATCACCTAAATTATAGGAACAAAAAAATAGGGGAAAGCAATTAAACACATCTGAATTACCGTATTTTTTGCTCTATAAGACTCACTTTTTTCCTCCTAAAAAGTAAGGGGAAATGTGTTTGCGTCTTATGGAGCGAATGCAGGCTGCGCAGCTATCCCAGAAGCCAGAACAGCAAGAGGGATTGCTGCTTTCGCTGTGCAGCGATCCCTCTTGCTGTTCTGGCTTCTGAGATTCAGAATATTTTTCTTCTTGTTTTCCTCCTCCAAAAACTAGGTGCGTCTTGTGGTCTGGTGCGTCTTATAGAGCGAAAAATACGGTAAGCATTTAACAGTGCAGGTCCTGACTAACTTGGGCCCTACATACTTACCAGCTAGTAACCATGAAGGCAGTAATGCTTCTGAATACCAATTGCTGGAAACTGCAGGTGGGCAGAGTGCTGTTGCACCCAGGTCCTGCTTATGGGCTTCCCCTAGGCATCTTGGCCACTGTGAGAGCAGGATGCTGGACTAAATGGGCCATTGGCCCAGTCCAGAACACTCTTATGATGATCTTGAGTGATGTTCTTACATAAATTGTCATTCTCCTGCACTTCTTCCACACGTCACAGATTCAGGCAGAGGATGGGAAATAGTCTCTGCTAATCTATATTACACTTAAATAGACACAATAGGAAGTGCTTCATTCATGAATTGCTCCTAGCAGCAATATCTGGAAGCAGATTTATAGGGCAACTTTCTTTTCTGTGGCCTGTTGAATTATCTAACACTGACTTTTACTTCTGCTGTGAGCGAAGTATGTGTGATGTCACCGAAAAGCTCTTTGTGCCTATGAAACATCTACCTAATACTCTTCTACTGGAGAACTCCCACAGCCTAAGCAGGAACTTTTTCCAGAAAAGTTGTAGTATGAGCTGGCTTTCTGTGGCTAAGTATCAAAATATACACAGCTTGACTTTGACTGCCTCAACTTGTTTGCTCTAGTCTCCCAGCAACACCTATGGCTTCTAGACTGGCCAAAAAACATCATCAGTGGAGTCTTAAAGAAGACTTTAAGTAAACTCTTCACTTGCCTTGAAATCATTCTGCCTGTGTGTAAGGTTTTGACTTAGATTATTCTGAAATAGCTGGCCTAATACATTGCCTTACCACCTAGCTCCGTGCTATCAGTAAAATCTCAGTTATCTTTTCCTCTAAGAAACAAACAAGGGATTAGTAATGGTGGCTGAATCCTAGTTTTAGCAACTGCTTGCAACACAGCTTGCTCCAATTCTTGGCCTATATTAGCTTTCCACAACCTGGCACCCTATAAATGCTAACTCCCATCAGCCCCAGCCACGTGGCCAATGATCAGCAGGAATGATGAAAACTGTAGTCCAAAACATCTGGATAACGTCAGGTTGGCAAAGGCTGTCCTACATTATGGATGCTCACAATTGTCTATATACACATGTAGTCTTACATTACTAGAAAGACATACAGTAAACTGTGTGGGGGTTCCCGTGCAATCCCTTCCAGTGTCCCCAGTGTCGATTAAATTATTCCCTTTCCAGATTTACACACCATCTCTCAGCAAAAGGTTCCCGAGGCAGTTCACATAAGCAGCCATAATGTGTAATATGGGAGCTGAGTACCTTGGCCATGACAACGTCGGTGATCTCAGAGTTTGGAAAATGTGCCTCTGAAATCATGATACTTGCTCCAGCCAAGACACAGGAGCTCCTGGCAGATGTTCTATAGTTTATTGTCTATATTTGTTGACTTGCCACCCTATTTTCACATTTGCAGAGCCTATCATTTTAAAGCTAGACTGCTGCTCCCGTCTGAGTCTTACCGGCATTTCCAGAGTAACGTCCTAAATGTATTTTAAAAGAGCACGCTTCATCCTCTAACCAAAAACTGTCATACGATGCGTATGCATACGTGTCATCTTCAGCCTCCAAGTCCACATAAAGCATGAAGCTGGCTGTTTTCTGGTTTGCTATGTGGAAAATATTTCGGAGGCCGAGCCAAAATTCCCCTGTAAACAGAATTAAAATAAAACTCTAAAAGAACAGAAGTGAAGATTTATCCCTCCCCCCACAAACACACACACCTTCAATCTGTTTGCTATTAATCCTGAACCAGTTAAAGGAAGCTATGTTTAATTATTGATTTATACCCCGGCTTTTTCCTCTGACACACACACAAGGCAGCTTACAGATAAAAATGAGAACCGTTAAAAACACAGAAAAAAATATTATTAAAACAATCATTAAAAAACAATTATATATTGATAGAATTAAACTAGCTACATAATCAATCTGATCTATTTAGTTTTTCTACCATAACAAAACAATGATCTGAAACTTCAGCTGAACAACAATCTGCTCCCTCAGTCACCCCGGAAGTGGGAAATGCTCAGTACACACAGTGGGAAATATCAGTGTATTGTGCTTGATATGGTTCCATTAGGATGCTCTGCCCTTGGAGGCCAATGGATCCATTGAGTTTCTAAGCAGCTTGCGGGGGGGGGCGTATTTTCCAGGTGATATGACAAGCGTTCCTCTCGGAGGCCTGGCTCCCGCCCATTATAAATCATACCCCACTTCCCACAGGTATACAGCTCAGGACCTCCGCTCTTATTAACTCTCAGATGTGTTGGGTTTCTATTCCTCTCACTGTACAGATATTGTGTAGGATTGATTCATCACATGTCTGTGTTATGCATTCCAGCACCGACTGTTGGAATCACGGGAGTGGATGTTTACTGTACTCTGTTTCCGTTTGTTGTTGCTTTCATTTCTGACTTCTCTCCGAGGAAGATCAGAGAGAGGAGACATGTTTTCTTTGGTTCTGCCTTATGCTTAGTAAAGGAGCTTCGTGTTCACAACCCCAGCCTAGCTCTGACTGCGTTTTATCTCTGCTGGACTCTGGATGTGTGCTCAATGTCTCCAAGATGTGAGTCACTATAAATCGCTGGGGAAGGCTGTCGGAACTCCCTAGAGCTGCATGTTGATGGGAGGGACAGGCTGGATAAGACCCAATAAGAAGAATCAACCTCACCGGGTTGTTGAAAGGATAAAATGGGAAGGGGACAACCATGTGTGTCACCTTGAGCTCCTTGGAGGAAAGGGAGTGATATAAATATAATGACAAAAACAAACATGGACACACCAAATTTGTATGTCCCTAGCTGGGCTGGAGTAACCAGAAAAAAGTCCTAACAAATAACAAATTGCTACCTTCAAGGTCACCAAATCCAGTCAAATAGTCAGACCATGTCCTTTGAAATTCAACGAGCCCCTCAGTTCTCTTCTGGATCACTGTCCATCCCCCTCCTCGAAAATCCATCTCACACAATACCTGAAACGTATATAGATGATGGTGGTGAAATCTTTATGTAAAGAAGCCGGCAAATTCCCACCGCACACACACACCCCCGGCCAAATTAAGCAAACACTAACATTTGTACACAATATGGATTTCTACAAAGATTGGCTTTCAGTTTTTCACAGTGAGTTCACTAATTCTTCTCATTTCCCCTTCCCTTTAAAGAGGTCTTGGAAAAATTCTTGGAAATAATTTGTTCAAGCTAGGTGCAGCAATTTTATCAACACAGGACACACACACACACACATGTATATGTATATGTATATGTATATGTATATGTATATGTATATGTATGAAATAAAGAAGCTTTTCTGAAGCTTGCAGGGATTGCACCTTTGGCATGCATACCTGGGGCTTAGAGTCAAATATTAGTCAATGAGTGTATAGATTCAAAGCTAATTTCTTTATTTTCTTTTTTAGATGTCGATAACATTGCTATAGTTATATATAAACGGAACAAGGGTATTTTAACAGTGTGTGAGAGAAAGAGAAAAAGAAAAAGAAAGAGAGAGATGTTTGGACCAAATCCAGCCCTCTCCCAAACAGCTTAGTGGGTGGATATCAGCTTTTGCAAAGGTACACAGTCCTGATAACTAGACCAACCAGAAATGAGGGACATACATGTGGCACCCATTTGTGTATGCTGTTTCCAATTGAATTAGGTGTGCTTTCCATGTGAATGGCCTCTAGCAGGCAACTGCTTTTCCTTTTCTGCAATTTAACATCTATTCAAGAGTGAGCCGTCAGACTTTTCTGCACCTCTCCCTTCTCTGTTCTGAAGTGTCTTCATCTGGCCCCCTCCAAAATTCAAAATCCTAATTTTATTTTCAGTTTTAACCTCCTCCTTAGTTGCTACACATCCTATAACCATGTTTTTCCATTAGTTCTTGATCTCCGGCCAGTGTCATAAGCAAACATTTTTACTTATTTGATGACTTCAACTTCTGTAGACATTGGCAGTCATTTCTAAACACTGGAAAGGTTTTTATTTTTTTTAAAAAGGAAATATGGAAGTTAATTATCTTAGTTATTTCAAAAGTATCCTCCAGTGCATGCTAAACTATTTCATGATTTATATATTTAACTCCTGCAAGCACAAAATTGAAGGATTTTAAAAAAAAAAAACACCATGGGAATGATACTGTCAATGTTAAGCATTTTCTTTTCAGGCCACAATGTTAGACTGAATCGGGGGTGAGGAACCAAGCCTGGGGGCCAAATGTGGGACTCCTCTTAGACTAAACCCTCTCCTTACCCACACCCGCTCTTCCCAGGCCATGACCTTTATCATCTCTGTTCACACCCTCCTTGAATGTTTTTCCTCGCTGTAATGTATCCTTGTAGCAATATTGCCTCTTGCTTCCCTGGATGGAAGATAAAGAGATGTGTGTATATATGTGTGTGTAAAACTAGTCTACTGTACCAAAGTAAAATTTACATTTGTCGCTCTGTCCACTTTTGCTTCTTGAGTGCAACACGCCTACAAAGTTGGGAGGGAGGAAGACTGGTTTGACAACCTGTCGCTCACTCAACGTGTCCTGACTACAGCCTAGGTGGCAAAGCGAGGGGTGTGGGGGTGAGCTCCCCGCTTCTCCCCACCTTGCTTCTTCCAGGATACCCACAATGGCAATATCACCAATATCAGGGCACCATAATTTGCCCTATGATGCAGTTGCGAGAGAAGAACTCTGCCCCCCCCCCCCCGACAGCTCCTAGAGGACTATCTTAGTATCTGCTTCAAAAAGCTTTAGATTGGTTGTGACTAGGGATGGAGGAGAAATTTGATTCAGTATACATTTAAACCCAAATCTACCAAATCTGCACTTTCTGAAATAATATGTGAATCAAAACACAGCTATCATTCAAAATTTGCACTTATCCAAATTTTGCAATTCAGCCAAGCAATGTGAATAAAAATTATACCATATTTTTCACTCTATAAGACACACTTTTTCCCTCCTAAAAAGTAAGGGGAAATGTGTGTGCATCTTATGGAGTGAATGCAGGCTGCACAGCTATCCCAGAAGCCAGAATAGCCCCTTCTGTTTCTCCTCCCGCTTTGCTGGAGAGGCGCTGCACAGAGAGGGAGAGAATTTTTCTTTTCTTGTTCTCCTCTAAAACTAGGTGCGTCTTATGGTCGGGTGCATCTTATAGAGCGAAAAATACGGTATATGGATATTTTAACTATAGTGTGCATTTGATTGACATCCTATGCTCTTTTAAAATGAATTTAGGGGGGGTTATTGGGTTGTTGTTTTTATTTTGATTATGTATTTTGTGGTTTTATATTTTGATTTTATTCCGTGAACCACCCTGAGACCTCCGGATATAAGGCGGTATATAAATTCAATAAATAATAGTATATCACTGAAAATAACATACTAAAATACATTGCTTGCAAAAATGTGTACATTAGTCAAAACTGAATATAAATGTTAGGAGAAATTCACACTAAAAAGCTGGATTTAAGATTGGAAAAATGAGAAATTGAGAGAACCAGAATTGACAGAACCTTCCATACCCGATTGTGACACTGCCACTACAATGGCCATGGGAAAGAGACCACCTCCGTTCTTGTGGCAGGACTTTCTTTCCAACCTGTCCTTTATAGTGCCAGGTTTATACCAATGAGAAGTTAGCTAGAGTTTCTGTAAAGAGGCCTTTTAAAAGTTCAGTTAATTGTGAGTTCTGAATAACAGTTGTAACTCTGCAAGTACTCCTTTAGCCTGTAAACACTTGCCCACCTTTTATTCCTTGTGTTCTCGCTACATAGTCCTCCGATTAAAGATCTGGAGTGCACAATCAAAAGCACATTTTCTTAAGTCTTTATTAGTCACACAAGGCTGATCTGGCAAAAGCAACGATACCAAGACTGATCCCAAGAGGGAGCGTTTGTTTGGCAGGCCAGTTCAGATCTCTGGAACAGTATTCTGTGCACTGCTGTGACAGCATTCTTGGTTTCAAAATCAAGAAAATCCTTAATAAATATTAACAAAAAAAAAAAAATCATAGTGCAGCTAAGAAGCAAAGCCCCATGTTAAACCCTTTTTTCTCTCTCCCATAGGGGTTGAGGAGAAATTCAATTCTGTTAATTCGCACTTTCCAAAACGCTATGAGAAGTGAAACACGGTTATCCTTCAAAATCTGCACATCTTGGAATTTTGCAATGCAGTTCTCCTGCCAAGTAATCTGTACAAAAATTCATATGTGCATATAAATGAAAACAAAATACAAAAACACATATTAAGGGAAATTGCTTTGCAAAAACGTGTGTATTAAGCAAAGCTGCAGGCAAAAATGTGTGTATTAGGCAAAGCTGCAGATAGAAATGTGCATATCAGCAGAAATCCACACTAAAATGCTGGTGAATTTCCATGAGAACTTTTTTGGGGGGAGAGGGATCAAAAAACTGATGTGTAAATTTGGAGAAGCAAATTTAAGAATGGAAAAATGAGAAACCGAAACTGACATGTTTATCCATCCAGGGGCTGTGAATGCAGCCTTGGCAGCCACTTTGTCTTTACTGTTAAAGTGTCATATAAAAAATATGTCACATTGGTATTTATGATTTTTCTTGTCGGCTACACAAAAGGAGAGACAGAGCTTCGTGCTGTGACAAATAGGTTTTCTATCTTGTTGGCATTTGTAAATGAATTCGGCGTTTTCTTACAAGCATCACTAGTATTTCATTTACTGTTATTCTGCAATTCAGCGAAAGATCAGCAAGCTTATACAGTGGTGCCCCGCAAGACGAATGCCTCGCAAGACGAAAAACCCGCTAGACGAAAGGGTTTTCCGTTTTTCGATGCGCTTCGCAAGACGATTTTCCCTATAGGCTTGCTTCGCAAGACGTTTCCGTCTTGCGAGTCTTGCGATTTTTTTCGCTTCCCCCCCCCTTTTTCTAAGCCGCTAAGCCGCTAATAGCCTTTTAGCCGCTAAGCCGCTAAGCCGCTAAGCCTTTAATAGCCGCTAAGCCGCTAAACCGCTAATAGCGCTAATCCGCTAAGCCGCTAATAGGGTTGCTTCGCAAGACGAAAAAAACGCTAGACGAAGAGACTCGCGGAACGGATTATTTTCGTCTTGCGAGGCACCACTGTATAAAACATAGTTAAATAATTAAGCCCCCTCAATTTCAAAGAGACAAATTTACACAGTGCATTTCTTGCTCCCATAAGCAGACCTAGTCTTCCCCTATATTTGTGTGGGCAAATGAGATAGGGTCATACAGTAAAAGGTTGGAGTTCTGTGGCAGAACACCTGCTTTGCATGCAAAAGTTCAATCCTGCACATCTCCAGGAAGGACTTGGAAAGACTCCTGTCTGAAACCCTGCAGAACCAATACCAACTGGGTAGTCACTCAGGACTAAACTACATGGCCTAATGATTCAGTATAAGTCAGTTATTGAACATCAGAGGAAGTCAAAGACTGCTCCTTGGGGTAGTTGTGTGCTACTCCTAGGTAATCCTGGGACCCCTATATCTGCTCTTCCACCTACTGCTAGTGATAGCTCTGAGCCCTTGGAATACTGCTCAAAGAAAAACAAATTGGCATAGCTAATGAGCTGTCAGTCTCACAAGGTAAGCTTTTCGTCTGTAGGAAAGTGGCAGTTCTCCCTTCGCCCAGGCTAAACCATGATGCTCAAATGGTACAGCCATCTAAGCTTCCCAAGAGCCGTAGTCTCTCAGGGTGTTTGCTAGCTGGGAAAAATTACAAGCAAGAGGATTGCCTAAGACTTCGAAGACTGCTGGCATGCTATAAAAATTATACTTAGTGCCAACATTGCTATTCTTTCCTATGGGAGTTGAACCACACCTGCTAGATTTTAGTTTGGAAAAAAGGGTACTTGAAATGCCTATGAAAAATAGTGAATCAGCCGCATTGTACTCATCTGTTTCCCAATGTTTCATGCTACAGTCAGTACATTTCAATGACTATGTTTCCTCTCCTCTAAGTTACAGTACTTCCAGTTGAACAAACTGACCCCCCATATCAGATTTAAAATATTGGCAGTTGGCGGCGGCTTGGAAAGTGTTAAAACCACTGCTAAAGCGACAGGGACTGCTTTAATGCAGCCATAAGAAGAGGGGGGAAACAACAATCTAAGCAAACAGTAAAAATGAAAAATCTGTATTACCTCAAAGGGATAACTTGATCCTTCTGGATGGATTATGTAGAGACCGCTTGGAGTTTTTGTAACAGAGCCAATGGTATCTTTAATATCGCTGCAATCCAAACCTGGCAGACAACATTACCAGAGGAAGTTCAGGTTCAACTTTGTAAAAAGGAAACAGAGTTAACCTTTTCTCTGACAGTCACTTTCCCCCTGAACTGCCTCCCCCTGGCTTTGACTCTCTGCCAAGGTTTCCGACCCATATGAATATAAACAAGAACAGGGAACGCAGGCTTTTAGGCAAAGTGACTGGTAGGTAAAGGTTAAGCATGCACACACATACACACATTAGTTGCACCCATAGATTATTGTACCATTCCAAAGAATTAGTTTACCCACATTTGAGCATAATGTAGCTGTTAATCTGCATTTTCCCATTTGCATTAGACTTGAGTAGTCCACATTGGCATGTATTTGAATACAAGGAGCGACTTCTGTCTTTCCCCTTCATATCCAATCAGATGGATGGCAAAGAAAAATAATTTATTACTTCTTATTAATTATTATTACTGCTATTATTTCATAAAATTTATATACCGTTTATTAAAAAAAACTCTCAAAGCAACTTACAAAAAGAATTCAACAATGAAATGATCAATAAACACTTTTGTTTTTGCAAAATCAGTAATGGCAAACCACTCCCCCACCCCCAATCTTTCTTATTTCTACCACTGCCATACTAGGAGGAGTTACGGAGCAAGAAGAGAAATGGAAAAAGTCAGGAAGCAAAAAGTATTTACCGTGAGACTGAACAGCTCGATGAGGAAATACATCAATTGGTTTTCTAGATAGTTCTGTGTTTAAAATCATAACCCGACTCATCAGTTCATTGACCTGTGTGATCACAAGAAAAACTTTAAACCATTCTTAATGTTCAGGGAAGCCCAGCATTGCCTCTTTTCTTTTCTTTTATTCATAACCTTGAAACAAACATTAACATGGGATGTAATTCAGCCCAAATTAGGTACTTCTAACAATCCCAAGAAAAATTACTAAATGGGGCTTAATTCTAAGTAAATATACTGAATATACTGAATATACATCTGGTGGCACACCCCATTGATTTTGGTCAATTAAGCATGTTTTATATAGAGCAATCCTAAGAAAAACTTCTCAGAAGGAAGTAACACTGAGCTCAGCAGGAGTTAGAAATTAAGCTGAGGACAATAGCCTAAGTATCTCCTAGTAAAATCAATATGACTGAAGAATGCTTAACTTCAGCTAGCTCATACACACGGTTTATCATTCATATTTTTAAGAATACAGCTGCCATTTCCCACCTATTCACTGACTCATACAGAATAAATCTGAGGAGGGTCCTACATAAAAAGCTAACAATATATTTGCTGACCTTAATGGCTCCCTCATATCTACCCAAAATGGTGTTTGTGGCACTGTAAGAAATCAGTAGTTTCTTCCCAATGCAGAAAACAATAACCAAATACTTGCAGTTGCAATACAAACTGTTTTTATGACATGCGCTCACTATGTTTGTAAACTGGATTTTGACATTTAGTTCAGCTGAATTAAGATCATTCAGTAGAATTAGTCCTGTACAGAAAGAAATGCATTCTGCAAATAATAACTGATACCTGATCGGAAAGATAATCGAGAGAAGACTGGTGATCATCCATCATGTTCCGTATCATCTTCTTGGTACTTCTTGCATATTCAACTAGAGAATTCTGCAAGTTCCCTTTAAGCAAACAGACCGTCAGTCATTTAAAAAGTTACGTACTGAAATAATGCAATGACCCATAACAGAGCTTTCTTCAGCAATTAGCGTTGTGTGGTAATATTTCAAGCAGGGTAAAAGCCTGACTACATGTGATGCTAACAACTGTGGTGCTAACTATCTGTGTGATTAGCAATCAGGTTGTTGGTTTCTTTTTAATTAAATGCCAGGCACAGGGGACAAACAGCAATCAGCACTGCAGTGCTGGGGCAGGTTTAAACCTTCCCTCCCCAGCTGTGGACTTCCTCAAACTCGCTGCTATAGTAATTGACAGTAGGTTGGAACTCCCATTCACATCAGTGGGAACTTTCCTCTTTCTAAAGATAATGGTGGTATGAAGACATTTACTGAGATCACAGCTGGGGAGAGAAACCTCAAACCACCTCTCCTTGCACATTGCGAAGTTGAAAACAATCTCTGCTTCTCCATGTTTGTTTCTTTCTTTTCTAAGCCAACATGATTACTCAGCACTTCGTTAGCGTCACACACAGTTAGGCCCTAAATCAGCTTCTTTGTAAAAGTGAGATTTGGATGATTTGTGGGTTTGAATCAAATTGCTTAGTGTTTTAAGGTGCTGGGGGAGACGATGATACCTCAGTCCCTTGTATCTCCAGTTCAAAGGATTGCAATAAGCAGGGCTAAGAAAGTCATCTGTCAGGATAACCTGAAGAACTACTGTCAGAGCAGACAGGACTGAGCTGGGTGGATCAACAACTGGAATAAGGCAAGTTTTGCATGTTCATACCACTTAACATCAATGTCTGCATTTGTAGATGCAGAAAATTCCTGAAACAAACCAGAGTTGCAGCAGGAAATGAAGTATTTATATTACAAATGTGGAAATGTTCAGCCTACTAGGTTTAGAACTGTTTCACCCTGTGCTCATCCAACCCCACCGAGCTTTAGATATATTACACCTGTGTTGAGTGAATGATCTGCACTAGCTCCCTATTGACAACCAAATCAAGTTCTGGGTTTTGCTACTGATATTTAAATCCTAAACAACTTGGGATCAGGATATCTAGCAGTCCCAGTATGGACCAAGGCAATCATTAAGAACAGGCATTGGCAAACTCGGCCCTCCAGATGTTTTGGGACTACAACTCCCATCATCCCTGACCACTGGTCCTGTTAGCTAGGGATGATGGGAGTTGTAGTCCCAAAACATCTGGAGGGCCGAGTTTGCCTATGCCTGGTAAGATTTTTCAAAGATCCATAACCAGTGCATTGCCACTTAGCAACAACATGGAAGTAGGCATTCTCAGTGTAGCACCCACCCTCTGAAATGCCTTCCCTCAGGTTACTCATGAGGTGGAGATAGTAATGATATTTAACCAATGCTTTAAAATGTGTATGTTCACAGTTTCCCTTAGTTTTAAATTTTTAGTTTTGCACTCTGCTCAGTTTTAATTGTGATTTACACTTATGATGTATTTTTATCTTATTTTTATCTACTTTTTAGGAAGCTTTGCTGAGTATTGTTGCATTTTAATTGCATTTATGTAAATTTCTTAATATAGTGAAAATAGGTAAGTAGTATATTTATTTTTAATAAATAAACTTAACATACTGTGAGCGAAATACAAATAAGTTCAATATCGTATCATTTTAGCAATAACCCAAGTTAGCTTGCAACAGTGAATGAAAGGAAAGAGTTTCTAAAATACAAAAGTACATACTACACATGTAATGTTTTTCTTCTCTTAACACTTTAGCTTGAAAATCACAGGGCACGTGGCATTTTTTCTTCTCCTGTGGATTTTCTGAAGATTTATTTTTTGTTCCTGGACTGGCTGCCTCTTCCACAGTGGTTGTGGCGAAAGTACCCTGGAATACCAAACAGAAGGGGGAAAAGATCTCTACAGAATGTAGATAAAGCAGGCTCTTGATTATCAGTAATTTAAAAAGACGGCAAACATTTTCATCTCAGAATAAGATGGTTCAGAAGTTGTGAAATCTAGGCTGTTAAGTGGGGCAGCATAGAGGAGCACATGGAGCCAAAAAGCTGCACTGGCTGCCAGTATTACCAAGCCAAATTCAGGGTGATATATACTGACTAAAGTACTGTCACATTTATGCTTATTTAATATGTGATCAGCTTAGAAAAGAGCCGGCAAATCTCTGCAGCAGTTATATAATTGGGTATTACCCAGTTTGACCCAGGTGATTTCCAGGAATATGTAACCCAGCCACAGAGCACAAGGCGTAATACAGTGCCCCTTGACAAAGTAAAAAAGGGGGCTTTTTCCTCCTCATTGAATGATGAGAAAAACCACAACCAACCCTCAGATGTTGAATTAAGGGTACAGAGCTTAAAAGCACAGGGTGTGACTTTTCAGTCACAGGGCTGTATGGCCAGTACCTTCCAGTTTACAAATTAAATGCTGATGTTTTAATGCTCCCATTTTAGCATAAAAATGAGAAGTTAAGAGAGAGGTTTTAAAAATGGAAATATTGAACTGTTGAACTTCCTGAAGCAATGAAGAAAATGCCATTGGCTTTCCAAATATTTCCTTCAAATTCCTCTCCTTCCCCATATAAAGAAATATTCTGTTAGCACAGCTCATAGTTCTGATTAGACTGTATTCTTTGCAGCTCTCCTGTAGCCCCAACAAAATATACTTATTTATTGCTTTAAGGCCACAATCCTAAACACTCTAGGGAGTAAAGCCTATAAAGTTGCCTTATACTGAGTTAGCCCATTTTTCTAGATAGCTTAGTAGTGTATACACCAGGGGTCAGCAAACCTTTTCAGCAAGGGGCTGGTCCACTGTCCCTCAGACCTTGTGCGGGGCCAGACTATATTTTGGAAAGGGGGTGGAAAGAGTGAATTCGTATGCCCCACAAATAACCCAGAGATGCATTTTAAATAAAAGCACACATTCTACTCATGTAAAAACAGGCTGATTCCCATACTGTCAGTGGGCTGGATTTAGAAGGTGATTGGGCCAGATCCGGCCCCCGGGCCTTAGTTTGCCTACCCATGGTCTACACAGTGACTAACAGCAGCTCTCCAGAATTTCAGGCTTGTTTTCCCCCCTCAGTGCTACATAGAGGTGACAGGGACCTTTTGAGACCTTTTGTATACAAGGTATGAACAAACTGAGCTACAGCTCTTTCCCACAGTATCTTCCCCTTCTGGCAGGAGCAACATCATAAGAATAAAGCAATTACTAAGGGCAAAGAACTGTAAGCAGCCAACTATGCAGATTTTAAACAGTGTTAAGTAATTAGAGAACTGAGGTGAGAATGAAGCTCAAGAAATTGCCTTACATGCAATCCTATTATACATGTATACTCAGAAATAACTCACATTAAGTGAAATGGGGCTTACTCCCAGGTAAGTGGGTATAAGATTTTAGCATCAATTACAAACTGACCCTCGACAAAATAGCAATAACATAACCAGATGTTGGTTAAGTAACCTAGAGCTGTAGGGTTTTACACACACACACACACACACACACACACACACGGCCAGAAACATTATAACAGTGATATGTAATCCTCCCTTAAAAATGTTTTTCAAAACTTTCTACAAAAACCCATTGAGAACCTCTAGATGTATTGCAATAAAGGATCAGAATGCCCCATGACACAAGTAAAATAAATACAAATGATGTTATTTTGTATTTACAGTAGTGTATGTGTGTTTAGAAGACGATCCAAAAATTGCAAAGGCCATTTACTATTTGTGAAGAGGTATGCCTCCAAGTTCAACTTTTATTAATGACCTGATAAAAAGCCTTGCCTTCACAGACGTTAATGAAAAAACTCTCAGTAACTTTAGTGGGGACTTCAGTCTATCTTTTCAACTAGGCAAGCAACTGCATTTACTATGTTAGTTGCATTAATATAGTTTCAGCAGGGTCTTTTCAATAGAAATACAACTGCACTCTACAGACACACAATAGCCCTCCGAAGCAAAAACATGTTGAAAGCAGGATTTCCTTCATCTTATCAAGGCAATACATTGCAAACCTTACCATTGCAGAACATGGCTTGGCATTACCAAACACAGTATCAGCCCCAATGAAAAATATGATATTTAGGAAGATCAGTGAGGATGCACTGAGATGGATCATCTCTGAGTTGAAGAAAGGAAAAGGTTTCGAAGAATTTCAAACTGCCTTGGAAAAGACTGTCCACTAACTGATGAAGTCTTGAGTTAAGAATTCAGGAATGTGTACAGCATAAACATTAGCCAGAAAGCCAACCCTTTTATGCCCGGACTTCAGAAAACTTACACAAAATTTTATGTAACCCATGTCTGCTTTAATCCCCCAAGCAATTGTAAAGCATAAAATCATTTGATCCTAAAAGCAAATATTGCTGACATAAAGCAGTTGCTACTTAATTAAGATCTGAAAATAACTGTTCTGGGAGGGTTGGATCAGTGCCAATGTTCTGCAGGACGAAGTGCAGGGCTCCTTTTTTATATGGCTTGCCAGTGTCATCAGATCTTTGCCCAGGCCATAGCATCTAGCCACCTGGAGCAGACCACATTGAAGGGGTTTCTGGAGACCCCCCATCCCCAAAACGGCTTGCCAGAAAGCCCACCCTCCCCCTCCACCATTCCTCTCTTCATCTCTTCTTCACACTATCTGAATTGCTACAGATCTTCCTCCCCTCTACCTTCTCTACGTTCCATCCTCGCACATGCTCAGGTCTTCCTCTTTCCCTTTCTCCATGCTGTTTCAAGAAGTGTAGAGAGAAAGAGAAGGCTGCCAGGGAAAATTCAGCCCACAGGATGCCAGCTACCAATCCCTGTTCCTGGGGAGAAAACAGCACAAAATCCTAACTACTGATTTCAGACTCTGACCATCTGGAAATAATATACAGATCAGCTTGCACTAACTCACAGGAACAAAAAACGCCACTGACCTCAATAAGAAATGGCTTAGGTCCATGGTACCTCAGGGCAGCCTTCACCAACCTGACGCCCTCCAGATGTCTTGGGACTGCAGTGCCCATCAGCCAGCACCAGCACTCATGCTGGCTGGGGCTGATGGGAGTTGTAGTCCAAAACTTCTGGAGGGCTCCAGGCTGATGAAGGCTGCCTTCTGTATATCAGAGGCTCAATGAAGGTGGGGACATCTTGCCTACCCACAGTCACACCTGAGAGCCAGTGTATCATAGTGGTTAGTCTTAAACTAAGACCTGGGAGAGACCAGGGTTCAAATCCCCACTCCTCCATGAAGCTCACCGGGTGAACCTTGGTCCAGTCATTGCCTCCCAGCCTAACCACCTAACAGGGTTGCTGTTGGGATTAAATGAGCAGGGAGAATAATAGAATTGAAGGGACCGGAAGCCCAACTCCCTCCAAGGCAGGAATCTCAGCAAACAACTGCCCCTTTTTGTTTAGGCAGGTTTTTGCCTTTCTGAGTTGGAAACTATTACTATATTAAACCCCCCCCCCACTCCTTTTGATAATATCGTATTTCTGCAATACGTATTACTGTACCTTGCAAGTTTTCACTTAGAATCACAGAATTGTAGAGTTGCAAGGGACCCCTGAGAGTCATCTAGTCCAACACACAGGTGAGCTGCCCTGGAGTACTAGAAGGACTATAAATATATAGTATAAATAGTACTATAAATATAAAAACGTGGTGACATAGCCAAAAAAAAATCAAGACAAATACTTAAGTAACTAATGTTCTGCCCTCCTAACATGAAGCCTGCCCCTCCCCAACATAAATCCTGGTTACGCCCATGCATATAAATGTGACAATGATATATGTATATGTATTTATTTTTACACACACACAAAAGAAGGGTAGGGGCCAGTCAAGCCTTACCTGATTTATTTTTAAAAATTATTCCACAGCTGATCCATTACATTTCTATATCCCTCCCTTCTCTAAGGAGCACAAGGTGGCATACCAGGTTTTCTCTCCCTGTTCTTTTAATCCCCACAGCAACCCTATATATCAGCCTAACCTCAAATGAGGTGGTTAGGCTCATTGCTTTTTTCTTCTCTGGGGGGACGCAGGGGTACGCATACCCCTAAACATTTTGTGAAATCTTTGTACTTTTGTCCATTTACTGTACTTGTTTTTGCTGATTTGAACTATAAAATGGTGATTTTCTTGAGTCAAAATGAGAGTGCCCCTAAACAATTTTTTTTAAGAAAAAAAGCACTGGTTAGGCTTATATATATATATATATATATATACACATATATACACATATGTATGTATGTGTGTGAGTATACACAAACACATATACAAACGTATATGCAGTATATGTGTGTGTGTTTGCCTATATATATGGGCAAAAACAGAACAAACCCACAACATCCCCCCCCTCAAAAATGATAAAATATTCGAGGAATACACACACAAACACACACACATATATATACACATACACACACACACACACATATATATACACACACACACACACACACAGACATATATATATATATATACATATATACACACACACATATATATATATATACATATATATATATATATATAATTATTATTTTCGAGGGCGGTAAGAAACTAAACGGCCAGCAGTATATATATATATATGTACACATATTCGACGGCGGGGAAGAGGCTAAACGGCCAGCCCGGAAAGGCCTCTCCCCCTCAGAGTCTCCGCCTCGGCGCGGCCCTTGTCTCCGAGCCGGCCCCTGCGCATGGCGCTCCGCCCCTTCTCCTCCTCCGTCTCCCTTGGTTTCCGTTGCGAAGGAAGCGGCGTCGCCGGTTGCTAAGATGGCGGCTGGGCGGCGGCGCCCTGGAGCCGGGCGAGGGGCTTCGGCGGGCGCTTCTGAGGCGGCGGGGAGGGCTCGCTGGAGCCCCCCCGCTGGGCGCTGACGGGGATCCCGCGAGCGAGACGAAGGGCGGAGAGCGAGAGACGGAGAGAGAAGCCGGAGAGCCGCTGGGTGTGAAGATGGCGGCGGCGGAGGGCGGCTGAAGGTTCGGGGGCGCGTGGATGGAGCCTGGCGGAGGCGCCAACGGCAACGTGATCGGCGGCAACGGCAGCTTCTACTACTACTCCAGCTACGGGCGGGCGCCGGCGGCAGCGGGCGGGAGCCAGGCCGCCTCGGCGTGGGAGGCCGAAGGCGCCGCCGAGCCCGCTGCCCCCGGCGCGAGGAGGGGCGTCTCGGAAAGCGCCCTGCCGCGGGGCCTCGGCCGCCGGGCCCTGAGCGCCTTGGGCCCCTCCACGTATCCTCCTCTCAGGGCTGGAGAGGCCGGGGCTCCTGTGGGGCAGGAGGCGGGAGGGCGGGAAAGAGGCGATTGTTGAGGGAACAGGTGGGGCGCTCAGGCCAGGGAGGACAAAATTTGGCGAGCCGCCCCCCTAAATAGTTCTTATTTTCACAATAATTCATTTTGGTACAGTTGCTTCTTAGGGGTCTTGTCAATAGGCTCGCTGAAACTTCACTGAAATGCCATAATAATAATAATAACAACAACTAAACAACAACAACAACAAAATAATAATAATAGCCATCTCCAGGTTCAGGATATATAAAGGCAATAAATAATAAAATTAAAAAACAAATTGGTTTATTATTATAGTTATTATAACAAAAACAGAAGTTGATTTTGTTGTTGTTATCATCATCATCATCGGTGCTTTCCCCCTGAAAAATAGGTGCCAGTACTCAACACCATGAAGTTGTTACTGTAAGTACCACACTTTTTAACAACAACAAGAGATGCAGGTACTGTGTACCCTTGAGCACCCTGGGGGGTGGGGGGGAGCACTGAAATGAAAAACAAAAAAAGCACCTTCAAGAAATTAAATGTGGGCTGGGTGTCTAGGGTTTTCGCTACAGTTTCTGTTATCTTTAATGTCATGATCAGAAATCTAAAGATTCTCCTTGAAAGAGACTTATCAAAAGAGCGTCACGAGTTGCTAAAGGATCAAAGACTGTTTCGTAACCGAGCACGAAAACATTTTCTAGAAACAAATAAAAGGAGGAGGTATGTAAATATAAGGCATGCTTGCTATTTTAGTTGTGGTGGTAAATAATTGTTTGTGGGACGGAGTGGTTCAAGTTATTTTGAAAGGGCAGTTGGTACAGCCCCTCAAGAAACCCTTTTGCAACAGCTACCTGCTTGGAGCAAGGTACTTGAGAGGGTCATGGCAGATGGGCTTCAGGTGTATTTGGGGAGACATACTATTTAGACCCATTTGAATCTGGCTTCAGGTCCATTTGGGGCATGGTTGGTTCTTTTCATTTATCAGCTGTATCAAGATATACAGAGGGAGCATAGTCTTGTTAGTCCTACTGAATCAGCATATTTTGATAGTTGGACCACAGTTTTCTCCTTCATTGGCTCTGGTGGGCTAGCAAAAGAGGCACTGTGAAATTCTTGATTCTGCTTCTGGCAGAAAGACTGCTTCCAGGTAGAGGCAAAGGGGAGACTTCAGCTTAGCCTGATGGCAATTAGGTTCTGAGAGCCTGCAGGGCTCTGTCCTCCCCCCCATCTTGTTTAACATATACGTAATGCTGCTGAGTGAGCTCATCAGGCGATATGGAGCATGCATAAGTATGCTAAGGATACTCACCTTGTGTCTCTTCCTACCATCTAAATCTGGAGAGGTTCTGCTGGTGTTAGATCAATGACTGAAGGCAGTAATGGGCTTGATAAGGGCCCATAAACTGAAAGTGAATCATAACAAGTCAGAAGTCAGTATTTAAAAGGTGTAAAACTGTCTGCGGACAAACGTTGGCTCCCTTGGCCAGTAAAGCAAGATGAGCGCCGCAACCCCAGAGTCATTCGCAACTGGACTTAACTGTCAGGGATCCTTTACCTTTAATGTCCAGTAATTGAATAGATTGCCTGTTCTGACTGGGGTTACATTTGCTGTGAGGAAACAGGTGCGCATTCTGGAGTTGCTGTAAAATGAATCTCTGTCACTGGAAGCCCAAGTGGCTTGGAGCTCTGATACCAGCTATGGTCATTCCTGGACAGCGATAGTGTGGCTACAGTGATCACGCTCTGATAAGCTACGGGAAGAGCAATGACAGATTTGCCAGCAGAGCACCCAGTTCCGAAGAGTCTACATTGCCTGCCTGTGTGCTATTAAGTTAATTTCAGGTGTTTAATGTTGACTTGAATGGCGTAGGAAGGATCCAGTTACCACAGTGCTTCCCTCTGTATCCCCTACCCAGGCCTTACGATCAACCGAAGCCCTGCTGCTTGTTTCATTGCTGTGTGTGATTCATGCCTCTGTGACTTATGAAAAGGCCTATTTGATGGTGGCTCCCTGGCTGTGGAATGCTCTTTCACTTAAAATTTGACTGGTGCCTATATTGATTGAATTTTGTTGAAAAGTAGAAACTACCTCTTTAGCCAGGCTTTTAATGATGTAGGTCGGATATGTTAGGCCACAGGAAAAAGTAGTAGTTGTAACATTTATGGATTTTATATCATTTGAATGTTTTATTGCTATTTGTTTTATTTGCTACTTGTTTTATAATTGCAATACCCTGCCCTGGGATCATTTGGTTTGCTAGAGTAGAATAAAAATGAAGCAAATGAATAAAATACGGTAATGTTCAAATGATACTCTTTAAACTTAGAATTTATAAAATGCTGCAGATTAACTGAGGTCCTAATCTAATTATGAGTTTCCAGTGTGGCCATGAAAATCTAAGAAGTAGGAAACCATGGCTTAAAGTTTAAATTAAATATACCGTATTTTTCGCTCTATAACACGCACCAGACCATAACACGGACGTAGTTTTTAGAGGAGGAAAACAAGAAAAAAATATTCTAAACAAAATAGTGGATATATGATTTTTGTGGTTCATGCTGTGGCCACAGACATGTGATCTGACAGTGAGTTTGGAGTAGCCCAATGCAAAAATCCTGAGGATCCATGTGGATCCATGCTTTGTAACCACGGAAGAGGGAAGGAAGGGGAACCATGGATCCTCTGCTCACGACTGCAGCAGATCCCCCCGCCACCCGCAGGCAATCGCTCCATAACACGCACAGACATTTCCCCTTACTTTCTAGGAGGGAAAAAGTGAGTGTTATGGTGCAAAAAATACGGTAAATTTCTTTCAGGATAGGCAGTGTGGCTAGAATAAAGGTGATCATGCCTAACACTTTAAGTGGTGGCCTTTTGAGATAAGTGCTAAACTAAATCATACCTGGAAGATTGAGTATCTTGTTTACTTCTTGTTACACTCCTGCTTTGCCCTGCTGCAGTCAAGAAATGTTCAGAGTTCATTAGTTTGCACAATGTGAAATAGTATACATTCATGTAACAATAGATTCCTTGAGTCAGTGTCTGTGTTATGAACTGCTGCTAGTATTACTTTGACATGATACTCTTCTTGGTACAAGAGGCACTTGGTACAGATTTCAACAAGCAGGAACTTGCGATAAATCACAGATTTAGAGATTTAGTTAAAGAATAGGGGCAATGCAGTGGACTTATTTTTATTAATTAAAATAGTTATATCCTGCCTTTCCTCAAGGGAGCTAAAGGTGGCTAACAACAATAAATTAAAGTGATAAACACATGAGAACAATAACACCCCCAAAAACAGTAATGAATCCCATCTTGGGACCACTTGATTTAATGAAAAAAGTTGTAGCTTATCCTTGACACAGACCCTATGTCCAAACAGTCACCAAGAAGCTGAAGAATAGGGAGGCACAGTCTACCTGATAGGAGGTTGGTGGGAAACTAGTCTCCACTTTGTTGGGATTATTTGTACATAGAATAATTTATAGTTTTCAGGTATTATATTCTTTCACTGTTAGAAATCAAGCTTCTATGCCAAACAAAGAAGTAAATCTCCCCTGGATTCACAAAGCCCCGAAGGAACAGAATATACACTTTAAAGTATATATGTTATCCCTTGCTTGATGTGCCAAGAAATTGAATAAATCTTTCTAAGAGTACTTTTTATTATAACAGTAAATCTTTATACGTTTTGAATGCAGCTTTTCACTCATTAATACAGACTTTTCTGCTAAAAATATGAAAGATTATTTGTTCTTTATCCTGAGGGTGCCACATATGCTAGCAATCAGATCTAGTTACTCCATGGTAGCTTATTACTTCATTTCCCAGTGCTCAAAGGTGAGCTTGCAGATACCAATAGGGAAATCAGTGATTGTCATGTCAGGGAATGGGTATTTAAGAGTGTGTGTGTGTGTGTGTGTGTGGAGACAGAGATGGGGAGGCAAGGTCTGTGCAATGCAAACATGCCAGTGGAGACAATCCACACACTTCCTGGCACATGCCAGGAGAGAGGTCAGGACATGACTGAGTTTGAAACATGCTTCACTATGGATGCATAGTGGATCACTGATGTATTTGGATAAAGAAGGATTTGAGCAAAATGGTGCAAGCCACTTACCATGGTGATTATTTTTATTGAAAGTTGTTGTTGTTTTTACACAGAGCACTTGAAGAAAAATGGAAAGACGTTGAAGAAAAAGAACAAAAATTCAGAGAACAAATTTTGCTGCAGAGGAAACTGAAACATCAGGAAGCAACTGAAAGGTTCCAGCGTGGTCATATTCCACTTTCGCAACGGAAGAAAGTAGAAGGTTTGCATATTGCAAATGCAGCTATATCTATAATGCTTGCATTATAATGCGTGTTAGAAATAGATTTCATTCCAGATTAGTATCTGTCAAAAAAACAAATATTGCAATACCTTAGGGCCATTCCATAAAAGTGTATTAAATGAACAAATTATTTATTCCTTTTAAAAAATAGATAAATAGTTTAAAAAGTGAAAGAATGTTATTAAAAAAACCCCACACACCACGCCCACAATTATGTTGATCCTGCAGAATCCGATATTGTAAGCTTAACTTATCCATCTGAATAGCCAAAAAGGTCAGGAACAACATGTGCTAGACAATGAGAAGTCTATAATTTTCATAATACTGTTTTAGTGTGTTGACTGACCCTTGAATTGTTGAGGTTTTGAGTAGTGGCTTCCTTACTGCTACTTCTGTTTAATCCCATGTATGTTCTTGATGGACCCAATGCAATGCTCTTCATTCTGTGCCCACCAGCAATGCATGGTGTTGGGTAGCCAGGAGAACAAAGCGGCTGCATCTTACCAGCTCCTTCTGCCTACCATTATGCACTTGCCTATCCAGGTCTTGGTCTCTGCTCCAGCAGTGTAGCAACCCCCACCTGGGGCAGACCAAAGTTGTTGAGTTTGGGTTTTTTAGGAAAATTGTTGAGCTTTCAGGACAAGGGGAAAGGTGGCAGAAAGAAGTAAGAAGTGCTCTGGCCATTTTTAGCTCTGGCCACAGCCTCTGCTTTCTGGTGGGGTTTTCCCATAGATCAAAACAGCTGGCAATCCCTGATCTAGTAACATGGTTGTGAGCACAGAAATAGTTTCCAAAGGCAGATCTACACTACTGACAGTGTAAAAGGCTACTGTGCTTTGGGAGCACTGCATCTGTGATGCAAGTTTGGCTCTCTAGCCTAAGATTAACTCTGTCAAAACTGACAATTTTGATTGAGCTTTAATTTTGGGAGGGTGCTGTGCCTCTTCAATGTTAACTGCAGCAAAGAGCAGTAATTTTAGGGGTGAAGAGACTGTGCAATGTGGAAGACTTTGAATCTTGTGATAATATAACCACTGGCACATGTATTACATAATGCTGACTTTGATTCTATGATTCAGCCTGCAATCGATTTCATTTTAGTTTTTCTGTATTTTTGTATGTGATTCTTTGCCTTGGAAACCTGGGTAGGGGTGTGTGTAGAATGATGCTGAGCCTTTACTGTTAGTGACCAGGATTGCAAACTCTTTAAACTCAATAATTTCAAATTACTTTATGTATCATTGAAGTTGGTTTCATACGTGAACAAACTTCATACTTCATTACTGGGCAGTCCTATGAGATGTAATACAGTAATTTTGTATATTTCAGGGGGTTTTTAGTATTTAAATACAGGATCCCTATTTCAAACTTGTTTTTGATGACACAGCATAACAGTTGTGAACGATTCACAAACACATGTTTGGTTCTGCTCCAGTCTTTATAATTCTCATGAATTATAAAGTACTCTCTCAGGGGCATCTAACAGTTGTAAGCACAGTCAGTCTGATGTCTCAGTCAACTTTCCAAGGTTGAAACTATGTGATATGGTATTTCACTTAAATATTCTTCTCCACTCAGGAAGTCATCAGTGCATCACCTCCGATTCTCAGTGGATGTTTCCTATCCACTAATCAAATGAAAGACAAAAAAACCAGCATGATGGTTAACAAATTAATTTCACTGTGTGTGCCTGTTTCATCATAATTAATTATTGAATTAAAGGAAGCCACCCATGAATAATATTATTGATATAAATATCAATCAATACCAGGCCATAGCTCTGTGGCAGAATGTCTGCTTTGAGTGCAGAAATGAACTGGGAGCCAGAGATTTTCTCCTTTGCGTGGCCTGTTGGGTGCAGAAATTATTTAACTGCTGCATTTTATTTATATTACTTTTCAAAACAAGGATGTACTTTCATATATATATATATATTCTGCTTTTTTATTTCATTACTAATATTTTTATGAATTGTTAAGCCACCTTTAATGTCATTTATGGCAGAAAGATAGCAAGCAATCTAGAAAATAATAATTTTGACCAGACATTTCTTATAGTCACTGCCCTCCTCTCCTACCTTTATCAGGGCTTTCTATTTTCACCTACCAAAAAAATCTACTGGCACAATCTATCAGGAAGTTTTTTTTATATGGACCCCATTAAAATGAACTGGACTGAAATAAATAGCACAAGAAGGCTATCGTGGATTGTGCTCTTTTTTTGTCCCTTATATTGAATACTCCTTGTTGCAATCACTTATACTTAATTTAGGGTCCAGTATCATTTGTAAATTTAGCCTTAGTTGTAAATACACTATCATTATTGGATGCCTCAAAAATTCAAAAAACAGTTTAGGAATTGCAGTAATTGTTGGTGCATTTAAATAAGTCAGAGTGTGCCGAGTTTGCAAAGCCATGCTGTATGGGAACAACAAGGCAGAAGAAGAAGTTAAGGACTGTAGTAGTAGAGGGCTGATGTGGGCACAGTTTTAGAATTGTAGGAGTTTTCTAGGGGTGGGGAACTATTCTTGAGTTTTTGTGTTTAAAAGCTTGACATTTTATACAATATTTCTAAATGCTGTCCTTCTTTTTAATTCCTAGTGCAGAGAAAACCAGAACCTAAATTAGATGAGGCTTTTAAGAAAATTCAAGTAACAGGATTACATTTGTCACCATCCAAAGTCATTGGAAGGTAGATATTTTATTTGTTTCATTCAATCATAAAATTGCTGCAGTACTTGTGGGCAGAAGCTAAATGCAAGATCATATAAAATATGCTTTTCCTCATTCCCTAGTGAACAGTATTGGGTGAGGGGAGGTCATGGGAAATTTTCCTTCCATTAACTTCAGTAAATTAACGTATTAGAATCCAGGCCCAATTTTGGGTGAGCCTTCCTTCATTCAACAACTGCCACATCGAATCCCATGTTGTCCAGGGTCCCCACAACTCTCCTAAGAAGCTTTTCAGAGGTGCAGGTAGCTGCAGGAAGGGGCAGAAAACTTGCTTTCTATGACGAGGTCACATATTTACCCCAGAAATATGCATTTAGCAAAGCAAAGTAAGAACTTAATGGAGTATATAAAATGCAGCTAAATGCAACGCCAGCAGAATCACTTTATTCCTAGTTTGGGGCAAATTTTTACTGAAATATGTTTTTCACAAGTACCTTCTATAGTACATTGTAGCTACTAAATTAATTTTAGTGTGCAGAATGTTTCACTTTAGATGTAATTTTTTACTGTGAAACTTTTCGTGAAAGTAGTAAAAATGTAGCTGGAAGTGACTATAATGTTTCTTCTCTGCAAGAGCTGCTGACACAACTTCCTCAGCTACTAGAAATGATCCCTTTTCCTGGAAACAGAGCTCAGTGAAAGCTGGCTGTGATAGGATAATGCAGGAAAACAGTGGTTCAAACCCGGACAATTCCCAGCTTCTCTTCCAACAAAATCTGAATGAAATGCAGCAGCAACTACAAGAACAACATTTCAGCAACCTTCAGGTATGATGTCCTGGCAGTTATTTACATCCTCTTAAAGGTGCAGTTCATAAACCATCTAAGTAGGAGTACCTAATGTACCAACTTTTTAGACCCATTGCACCTGCTTCAGTGCCAATTTAAGGATCTAGAAGCCCAGGACTTCTCTCACCTTGAAAGGTAAAACAGCATGATAACCCCCCACACAAGTAGAACTTCACATGAAAGGACATTAAGGTGTTAACAGAGTCTTCCTTATCCTAGGCATGTCACCGCTGTGAAGGTGCGCATCACTGCTGAGCCGGGTGTGTTGCAGTATCCTCAGCTGAAGTTGCTGTTGCAGTTGCTTTATCAGTCAAAGAGCATCAAAATCCATTCACTGCTTATGTTTAGGTTTCTTTCAAGCAACTGTATTCAGTTTGGTCTGCTGCTGGAATTGCAGAGCAGTACTATAAACAACTTATTTTTCTTTTGCATAGTTAAATTGCCACTAGGGGCCGCTGGGGGTTTTCTGGCAAAGCAGATACAATTTTCCAACTGTTGAAGATAATTAGCAGAAAGGGGAGTTGCTTATACAGTCAGACCTCAATTGTCGAACGTAATCCATTCAGAAAGCCTGTTTGGCTTCCGAAATGTCCGACGACCGAGGCGCGGCTTCCAGTTGGTTGCAGGAGCTTCCTGCACTCAAGTGGAAGCCGCGTTGGACGTTCGACTTCCAAAAAACGTTTGAAAACTGGAGCATTTACTTCTGGGTTTTTTGGCATTTGGGAGCCAAAACATTCCAAAACAGAGGTGTTTGGGAGCCGAGGTTTGACTGTAAATATGTAAAAGTTTAAACATACAGACAAACAAATGCTACAGAGTAACCACTGACATGCTTTCACTGTGGTGCATGGCTCTGAAACTCACTTTTAATAAGCAAGGGTGAGTGGAAAGCAATAGTTGAATAGGCTGCTGTAGTCAGTCAAAATCATTGCAATCGACTGTACACCATATCTGTATACATTGTGGTCATTTGAACTCTCACGTTGCGGTTTTACAGGTCTGGTAGGATTACAAAGATTCCTAAAATCCCCCCTTTAGGGCATATAAAAAGGTCACTATGCCAGTATGAATATTGTTTCCTATTAATATATCCCTTTAAAATCAAACAAAATTTCAGTTCTAAACCTAATTCATTTCTAAACCAGAATATTGCTGTAATATAGTCACCACAGGGTTTGTATGTACTTTTTTGTGATTTTTGAGTTATAGCGCCTGCTTTCAAATAAAATTCAAGGGCCTGCAATAAAAATTACTGGGCTGATATCCAGTAATATTTTTTATCCCAAAGAAACAAGCTTCACAGGTTCTTAATTATAAGCAAGGAAGAGATAAGGTAAACTATTTTTATAAGACTTAAGCTGAAAACAATGAAGCAAAATCATCATTAGTTTGGATGCTATTGTGGTTTCCAACTATCTGATAAAAAAAAATTAACACATTTCTATACCTCCCTTCATTTCTCAAAGTGGTTCACAACAAATTTTAAAATACCTTTAAAATACCTTAAAGCAACAAATGCAGCAGCATACAGAAACCAGGGCAAATACAACAAGATGGTATTAATGGCTAGCAAAAGCCTGGAAGAACAAGTGAGCTTTTAACAAGCACACATTAGCACTGGCGGTTAACTTATTTTATTCCTGCCAGGTTGTGTATCCCAGGGGCTTTCATAGGTAATTTCTGTCTAAACTTGCAGCACCAGACATTTGAAAAAACATTCAGCTAAATAGACTGAAATTAGAGCTAGAAAAATCTCTGGCATGTGGTTCCCTATAAATTTGATATACAACTGAAATGAGTTCATCCCTGTGCAGAAGTGGCACCCAAAATGTGCGGTGTATGAGAACTTGCAATATTTTTCTAGCACTGAAAATCAGTGACCAAATAGAAGCTCCAGTTAAGAATACTGGCTGTTTGTGACATTTTTAGCACACTTCATCCTGTATTCAGAATGATATTCTTACTTGCAGAGATGACTTGAAAAAAGATCTTTGAAATGTATTCTTGAAAAATTCTACAGTTTTCTATCAAATTATTCCCAACTTTTTCCTTTGGTAGCGTGTCCACAAGGACATATTGATGTTTATTTGAAATGCAAACCTGAAAATCTTACTACTTTTCACACACAAAAACCTAACGACCTCTCTGATTTCCCTAATTTTCTCTTAAACTTTACCAAGAATATGTGTCTTAGTGATATTTATAAGTTGTTTGCTTTTCTGTCTTAGGATTTTCATCAAGAAGTGAATGAAATAGCCCATACAGAAAGTGTTTGCAGCGTGGACAGTCTTGAGGCTGCAGAACCAAATGAAGGTTGCACAACACCTAGTGAAACATCTTCTTTATCTGCACAGTTGGACTCCTCAGTCCACAATTCAGAGGAATTACAGACTAGAAATAAAAGTTTCTCTGATGAAACTGACATGACACTTTCTAAAAATCAGCATGTAAATAATTGGCTTACAAATTTAAATACCTCAAATTTTCAGACAACCTCCCCCTTTCGTGATATTTTAATAAAATACAATGTCATACCTTCTGACGAGGACACATGCAGTCCTGATCAGAAATCATTTGTTCAAAGTAGGTCTGAACAAAGAGAGACTGCAAGAGATGCTTCTGATGAGAATCTAACCTTTGCACAAAATGAAAGAGAAGAGAAAAGTTTTCTGTCAAAACGTCCGTCTTCAGGCACAGAGGGTCCTGTAGCTACTGACAGCCCGGTACACGAAATAAACAAAGCTTGGGCTGTCCCTGATCCTTCAGTTGTTTCACTACAAGAGAGAAATTCTCAGCTTCCCCAGAACAGAACCTCATCAGCACAAGTCTCCTGTCAACAAACAGCAACCCCTGTGGTATTTCCTACTGCCCCTTACAATAACAGCTTCTCAATTAATTGCATGGAGAAGGGAAATGATCATTCAGCAAGATGTACTGAAGATATAGACTGTGTGGCAAATGCTAAACATGAAAAGGTTGTAGCATCTTTGTTTGAAGAGATGTGTAAAGGCTGTATAAATCAACAGAACGCTAATGGAGATAATGAAATGACTAAAAATAGTTTATCTATGTCTCATGAAGATTCCACTGCTAATTTATCTGATCTTGACCAACAAGGGAACAACTCCAATGAAGAAAAAGTAGTGAAATTTCCAAAAAGCATATTGAAAAAAGAATCTAAGTATGAACTTAGCAATTTCAAGGCAGTGGTTGTCAACAGGGGGGTCAGATTTGGGACTCAGCCTGTGATTCCTAGAGACAGTATTGAATTGGCAAAAATGAAAGGGAAAGATGCAGAGCAAAAGAACTATAAAAAACTTAGGTGGTTTGATGAAATTAACAGAGCAGTGGGTGATGAAAAGCATTCAGAACAGAATATCATTGAAATACCTCATGCACAGCCCAGATCACCTGGTTCTCAAATTAGAGCTGCCACTTCTAGAACTAATGTTAGAAGCATTCCCGCTTGCACTCTCAATTCTGTTTTTCCAGAATATCTCCAGGAGAATTCCCAGGCATCTGCAAAAATTGCTAGTGTTAAAGACTCAGATAACGGGATGCAGAATGCTTTTGTATCTAAAGGATATCATGTTGCTAGACAAGCATGGATGGCGCCAAGAGGTGAAGAAATACCCCTAATATATAATTGTGAACTAAAAAATCCCAAAAGCAATCCATGTAAAAGTAGAACGAAACTGATCAAAAGACCAAAATCTGCCAAAGCCACATCAACTTTCACAACTAAAAACCGAAAGGGCACCATTATCCGACCACAGTCTGCTAGCGAAGCCACAAAGGTTATGAAAACTCAGGGCAAAATCATGGCACCTCACCCACCAAGTAAGCCCATACCAGGCAAAAAAATGGATGAAAATCCAGCAGACAGTGTGTCTCAGTCAGGAAATCTTTGGAAAGCTCACACAGATACTGAAAACAGTCATTTCTTGCCTGAAGGTCAAGATTTATGTTCAGATACTACAGATTCGCCATCTTCAGGTACTGCTTGCAATTCACAGGTGGCCACTATGCGACCTTCGTATAGCATATTTACCTATGAGCTGTTGAGGAAGAAAAAGGCTACTGGTCAAGCAGTTGCCCGGTGCAACAGCTTTCCAAAAGGAAACTCTGTGTACTCAGAAAATGGATTATGTCGAGATCGCACACCAACCGATGAAGAAATCACAGTTTTGTGGCAAGGAGTGCATCGTGCACTGGCTCAAAAGGATGGTGCTGCTGGTAAGATTTATGTGTTTTCACTGAATTAGAAGGATTTATAAAATTATATATTTGATAAAATCAGAACTAATAACAGAGGGCCCATTCAGAGGGACTTTGAAAGAAGTTTAATTTCAGGCATATTGTGCTAATCTCACATTATCGTCAAAACCAAGACAAAAATTGTTTCTAACAAGTGGTATTCTGCCCGTTACTGGTTTTAGTCAGTCCCTGACCATGACATTTACAAATAGGTGTGACTAGCTTAGCCCTGATGAATGTGGATAAAACCACGGTGCCTTTTCTGACTGGAGGATAAAAGCTCCTTTAGAATTTTTAGCAGAGCTGAATCAAGCCATCCCTGATGCGTTTTCATATATAAACATGCCCAGCTCTGGGTTTGGAGGAGCCATGAGCAGGCTGCCCTCACCCAACCCAGCACCTCCCACTGTTTGGGCTCCCTGGTGCTATAAATACTGCAGCCACCTCCTTCCCCCCCCACAAGCAGGCTTATTTGGCAGTGGGCCTGGAGCCAAGTAGGTTATCAGCTTTGCTCGACACCTGGTGGCTGCCATATTTATCTCCCACAGTGTTGCTGACCTTGACTTGCCAAATGGAATGAAGTAGCCATTTCCTCTCAGTACTTTTTAGCGCCAACATCACCAGATTAGCCCACTTGCAAGGGGAAGGAGAGGCTGACAACTACAGGAGTTCTCAGTGGCAGCAGGTACTAGAGGCAGTCCAGGCAGGATCAGTGGCGGAGCTTCATGCTCTGGCACTGGGGGGTGGGGCAGAGAGCAGGCAGGGCTGGCGTGCTTCCCAGGCATGGCACCCAGCACGGGCGGGGCGGGCATCTGCAATGGCACCCCACCAGGATCACGCTGCCGGGGCTGTGCGCTCCCCCCGCTCCCCTCTTCCTCCGCCAGTGGACAGGATATCAGCCCTGGTAACGCAAGCAGATTTCCCAGTATGTTGTAAATCTCAGCTCATCTGTAATTTCAAGGTTGGATTACTGCAATGAACTCTTTGTGGGGATGTTGAGGATGGTCCCGAGGCTACAGCCAGCACGCAACATGATGCCTAGGTTGCTTATGGAAGCAAACTGCCACCAGCATATAACACATTGGTAGCCTGTGCAGATCCCACAGGCAATCTGCTACAGAGCCAGGTTCAAGGTTTTGGTATGAACATATAGTGGTACCTTGGTTTGCAACCATTTTGGATGACAACCATTTTGGATTACAACCACGTCAAACCCAGAAGTGTGTGTCCCTTTTTTTGGATTACAACCCCCCCTTTTTGGGGGGGAGGCCCCATTGGCAAAAGTGCACCTTGGGTTACGACCTGTTTTGGTTTACAACCGGACCTCCGGAACAGATTATTGTTGTAAACTAAGGTACCACTGTATAAGGCCCTATGCAGCTTAGGACTAGGTTACTTGAGAGACTGCCTCACTTACTACATACCTAGTAGCCACTGCATTTTGCAGGAGGATGTCTCCCTGAAGTTCCTAAAATATCAGAATCCCACTACACAGTAATTTGAAGCAGGTGTAGCTGTCACTGTTAAGTGAAAAGCATCCCTATTGAGATACAACAGGTGCCCACTATCTGGAGATTCCAGAAACAACTGAATATGCTTTTGCTTCACTTTGCCTTTCCAGCTGGATGGCAGGTGGCGGGGGGAACATGTCTCTGCCTTATGTATTATTATATTGTATTTAAATTTATTTTTACTTGTTTCACTTGTTTTTATGATTGTAAATTGCCTGTAAATTTATCTGAAAGGTGATTTATTAATTCAACAACAGTAATAATATTAGTAGCATCATCATCAACCTTTTATTCGACCGTCAGTCAGAAAAAAGTACATTTGTCAATACACAGTTAAAACATCCAGGAAGATTTTAGAACTTAAGGTAAAGTAAAGGTACCCCTGCCCGTACGGGCCAGTCTTGACAGACTCTAGGGTTGTGCGCCCATCTCACTCAAGAGGCCGGGGGCCAGCGCTGTCCGGAGACACTTCCAGGTCACGTGGCCAGCGTGACATTGCTGCTCTGGCGAGCCAGAACCGCACACGGAAACGCCGTTTACCTTCCCGCTAGTAAGCGGTCCCTATTTATCTACTTGCACCCGGAGGTGCTTTCGAACTGCTAGGCTGGCAGGCGCTGGGACCGAACAACGGGAGCGCACCCCGCCACGGGGATTCGAACCACCGACCTTTCGATCAGCAAGCCCTAGGCGCTGAGGCTTTTACCCACAGCGCCACCCGCGTCCCACAGGAAGATTTTAGAACTTAGCCAACACTAAAATGGGCTAAACAGATAGCCCCATATCAATACAGTCAATTATAGTCTTGCGACGCTTAAAAGCTAAAAAAAGAAATTTGGCCACCAAGGAAGGTATAGCTCTAGTGACATTATTCAGCAAGTGTAAAACCTGGTTTTCTCCGGGTAGGAAGCTAAATTGACATAGGAGTGGGTCTATAAAATTTTGTCTAAGCTCTGCATAAGAAGGGCAAGTCAAGAGAATGTGTTCGGTGGACTCAACCACACCCATGGCACAATGACAGGTTCTCTGGGCGTATGGTACTCCCCTGTACCTTCCCCACAATATCGCAGAGTCAAGGACATTTAATCTAGCCGCTGTAAGAAGTCTGTGGTATTCCACATAGTGGATTTCTGCAAGGTAGGGGGCTGGTATGGTCCGATAAATCTGGTCCCCTAGGAACATCCCTGGTTTTACCTGGGCTATGTCCTCTTGTCTGGCAATGTCACTCAGTTTCCGGGAGATCACAGCTCTAGCTTGATTGTACGTCATAGACTCAAAGTAAAGGTGAGACAATCCGCAGGATTGAACCTCGTTAATGACCTCCCTTTCCCACGATGATTGAAAATCGTCCCTCAATATCAAGGGGGCAATACCCACTGGTTTAAAACAAAGCTTGAGCCATAGCCAGAGCTTCGTCTTCAAGGCCACATACCGTAGAGCTTGCCAGCCGACCTCTAATCTCATAACCGCACCCGCTACCGAGGGGGGAATCCTAAGGATGGCTCTAAGGAATCGCGTTTGAATAGAATCCAGTTTCAAAAAATCCCTACGGGAGCCTAAAGAGATGCCCACCAAAAGAAGGGGGAGGACTTTCATTTGAAAGAGGCTCAAAGCTATCTTCACTGATTGAGCCTGATTCTTAGCATATAGAGATCTAATCTGGATGGCTGCTTTAGACAATAATAATAATATTAGTAGCTGTTATCTGATATAACAGTTTGCTATTAATGAAGTGAAAGTTCATTTTTGTGAATGGCTGAGTGCTTTGGCTGTCATCTAACAGAGTCCTGGACAGTGTGCTTAAACCTGTGGTGCTTCAGTAATGAAGGGAGATTGGATGCGCCTTGAGTGAATGTTTAACTTACACATTCATACATTGATTTGGTCTAATCATCTGCTGGTAAATTAGGTCTTGCTGCAACTTCACCCCATATGCCTTAAAACAATTGGGTGAAATAATACAGTTGTTTGTAAAACACACACTCATTCCTGGCTAATTTCTGAACTGCTGAGTGAAGTTAGGCTGACAATATAATTTTTAAAATCTTCTTGTGTTTTTCTTTTCTTTCAGGAGATTCACAACATGGTGTTACACTCTGTAATAATTCAAATAATGGTGACTTGCAACCCACTAGAACTAATGTGGCTCACATCACAATTGATGGTGGCAATCTGATGGGCAGTATTAAATCAGGTGTCAGAGTGAATCCAATATTTGCTTCTCCACCAAGCAGTAAGCTTCTTCCTTTACCAATTTTGTTGGGGGGTGGGTGGAGAAAACGAGAATATATATAGGCCAAATTTAATGAATCTTGAATAATAAAGCTTATACAGTAATATATGTATAGTTAAGGAATATATTTATCCAATGAGCCATGTATGAAGTTTGGATTGAGTCTGTACCCTAGTTTCAATTCTGTATTTTCCGCACTGGCAACTTTTTGAGAGTAAATACAGTCATACCTCATGTTATATCCACTTCATGTTACGTTCTTTCAGGTTATGTCCCGCGACGACTTGGAAGTACTGGAAAGGGTTACTTCCGGGTTTTGCCGCATGCGCAGAAGCACAAAATGATGCGGTGAATCACAACCCACACATGTGCAGACATGCCGCTGCGGGTTGCGTTCTTTTCATGTTGCAAACGGGCCTCCAGAACAGATCCCGTTCGCAACCAGAGGTACCACTGTAATGTAGAAGGGTACCTGAGATAGGCATGTATGGTTGTGGAACTTTCCTAAGTACTGAGATAAATTAGAGTATGCTGGTATATTCTGAAGTGGTTTATTCTATAGCTCACATGCTAATCAAGGGCTTTATTCATGAAAATTCTTTTGCATTTGTCTTTTCCAAACATTCCTTTATACTATCAGCACTAGTATAATTTTTAGTATTTTTACCACAAGAGGAAAATTAGAGAATTTGAAAATAAGCTAAATTAACAAATATATCCTTAACTTTTAACTTCATTGATTTGAATTTGCTCCCGTCAATAAACTAAAGCTCTGTTTAATTAATCTACCAATAAAAGTTTGCAGCTCTAGTTATAAACTACTCCAAATGTTGACCCATAGCTCAGTGATAGAGCACATTCTTGCCTGCAAAAGATTCCAGGTTCAGTCGCCATCATCTCCTGCTAAAGGAATCTCAGATAGTTGGACTAGGAAAGCCCTCTGCTGGAGACCTAAGGCCCAAACTAGATGCGATGGTGGGAGATCTATAATTGGATTGTCATTTTGTAAAGAGTAAATAGAAGTGGTTTGGACTAGAGCCATGGTACAGGAGGAAGTTTTTGTTGTTTTCCTCGCACGGGTTTTCTGATCCACATCTCTCTCAAACAACACACACCCAGAATTGTACATTTGCTCCATGAGTCGAAGCATATATGTACCATACAAGCGGGTTTGTCATCTATCTTGCTCAACACTACTGATATAATCCAAAAGTAAACTCAAGTTAAGCCATCTGTATTCCTTTTTTCTGCATATTTATTTATTTGTTACTATGTTTTCCCTATATGTGTTCAAAGTGGCTTATAAACAAAAGATAACATTGAAACTATAATTATAATTTAAGTATAAAACAATATAACAAGGTGTGTGTTTTGTGGTGCTTTTTTATCCTTTTCAGCTACTTTTGCCATGACAAGACGAAAACAAAGTATTGAAAATAATGAAAATAAACGCAAGGCTCTTTTAGAACAGAGGAGACAAAAGGCAGCCTCTGCAATATGGAAGCCCACTAGTGTCGTACAGGTATATCTGATAAATTTCTGACAGAAAAATGCCAAAAATTGCTGTCCCAGGGAAATGGATTCTGTATCGTGCAGTTTAAAAATTAAAGAAAATTAAAGAAAATTACAATGTTACTTCCAGTAGAAAATAGATTCTACAGTTATCTCTAGACCTCTTGCTTCCACTTCTCTGATAAGGCAGAATATAGAGAGAGGGTATTCTGTACGTTATAAAGGAAACTCTCCGGTGGAGTCATTTCACAAATAACTGTTCAGGTTTACTATATCCTGAATATACTTGCATATGTAACCTGTTCATGGGTTATCATAGAGCACTATGTGGGAATCGCAGTCTATTACATTTTTCTGCTGTAGTTCAGTATCACCACTATCACAGGTTAATGTCCTCCATAATACAGCAGCATATGTTATAGATCTCTCTTTCTCTGTGTGTGTGTGTGTGTGTGTGTGTGTGTGTGTTTTAAGGTTTTTTTCGTTATTTGATTTTCATTTCAGAGTAATGCTAGCACTTCTGGACCATGAAATGCCAGGATTTATTTTTTCAAGCAGTTTGATAATAAAATTCTTTTTTTATAGAATACGACACAAACTGTGAAGCGAGGACCACCTCATTGTGCAAATGATATAGTGCAAGCCATGGGTGGCATCAGTAATTCTGATGAAGGTAATACAGCATGTTTCAATCTGACTGTTGCTATGAATTATTATTTTAAGGTTTTTATTATAAACTATTCGTTGCTAAGTATCGTGTCCTTCCTAATTAAGGAATATCTTTGAAATTTGCATATAAACTCCCATTTGTAGCTTGTAACAACAAGCTGTTTTACGTAAGTCAAAGAAAAAGACACAGTCTTAACACACAAGAGGGTTCCGGGTAGTGAGAAATGGTAAAAGGTTTAAGAGCAGTTGAAGAAAACGACAGAAAAAGGCAATTTTTTAAAAGATCGCGTATCTGTCACGTCTCCATTTCTCACAGAAACATTATAGGAAAGTGATGATAGTCTTATGTCATTTGCTTTCTAAATCAAAAGTGGGGGAAATATTTGGATGCACAGAAAAGGCGTATAAAAAAAGGTAAAGGACCCCTGACAGTTAAGTCCAGTCGCGAACGACTCTGGGGTTGTGATGCTCATCTCGCTTTACTGGCCGAGGGAGCCAATGTTTGTCCACAGATAGTTTTGCCAGGTCATGTGGCCAGCATGACTAAGCTGCTTCTGGCGAAACCAGAGCAGCGCATGGAAACACCATTTACCTTCCTGCCGGAGCGGTACCTATTTATCTACTTGCACTTGGACATGCTTTCGAACTGCTAGGTTGGCAGGAGCTGGGACCGAGCAACGGGAGCTCACCCCCTTGCGGGGATTCGAACCGCTGACCTTCCAATCAGGAAGCCCAAGAGGCTCAGACCACAGGGCATCCTCAAAAACAATTCTAATGTTGCTCGGATAGGGTCATGATGCTCTGTGGGAACAAATATAAATAAAATTATTTGTGAAAGATGCACAAATACATGTTGTTAGCAATGGAGAAAGGCTGTAAAAGGTGGGTATTAAAACAAATTGACCCCAGGAGCAAATCCAGTTTTTTGTTTGTTTTCTTTCTAACCTTTTCTACAATACACATTTCTGTTATTAGTTTCAGACAGTACTACACAGTTTATGCTGGCAGAAAACTTAGCAAACACATCAGCTACAGAAAGTGACATCTTGATTGATTTGGACACAGTTCAACCATACAAACAGACTACAGTGCTAAACAGACCTGCACGGCAAGGAATGAGTGCATTGTCATTTGAAGAGCACAAAGTTCTTCAGTCACTCGACCGCATTAATCAAAAGCTACTTAGTAAGTAGTCAGCAGATCATGCTATGACATTCACCAGGGTAGTCAACTCTGTCAATGCAACTCTCTGCCTGTCTTCTTGGTAGTAGGTTCCACTGATCAGTGATCTCAACAATTTTCTATCCTTCCTGCTTCTCTCTCATGCTTTAGGACCAGAATGTTTTGCTACTCACACTCTATTTTGATTTATGACAAATCTGAGATTAGGCGGGGGGGATATTGACGGAAGGAGGAGATAAGAAGTTCAGAATCCTTTGTCATTTGCTTTTGAACCCACCCCTGTCAGAGGACAAGCTACCTCATTCCACAGGGTAGCCCATCAAATGATGGCCGCCAGACTTAATTCTGAAAGGGGTGCCTACCAAGTGGAATTGGTGGCAGGGTGCCCCTGGCTACAGTGCCACCTTGTTCATGGATCCCAAAGTACTACATGCCTGCAAACTGAATAGCCAGAAAAAGCTGAGCTGAACTCTTGAGAACATAAAAGAGCTTTGTACTAGAAGAGTTCATATCTCGTTTCCCACTGTGTTCATTCAAGTGCCTTTTGGAAGCCCCCAAGCAGGGGTTGTTGCTCTGCAGCAACTGGCACTTAATGCCCCACCACTTCTGAGCATAGTTTCATATACCGCCATGAATTGTAGGCATTTATAGACCTTCTCTCTACAAATTTGAAATTAAATAATAAATATGAAATAAAATTAATGCTTCTGCAGCCTTGCAAAGGGAACAAAAACTGTAGGTAGCATAGAGTCTGAATTATTTACAATCTGAAGGAAGAATAAATTATTGTACACCTTGTTTTTCCCCACCATAAACTTGAAATTTCTTATTTTATACTATTTTAGATGTCCATGAAACCATGAAAAAAATACCATCCTCCACAAATGTTTTACAGACTCTTTCCCCTTTGGTAAGCATACCCATTTGCTCTTCCATTGTAAAATGCATATGAACAATATGTTGTTTGTTTAGGATAAAGATGCAGCAGAGATAATCATCCACTTGTACTCTTTCAAAGACATATGGTTGCCTGCTGTCTGAACCAAAATTCTGGACTACATGGATTTTAATCTGATCCAGCAAGATGTGTTTGTCTAATATCCTGTAATAACTGTGTGCTAATGCATGTAACAGTGTCCTGGATGCCTTTAAAAAAAAAAAGAAAAAGAAAAGAAACAAAGCTGTTTCAGGATGGTATGCAAGAATTTAAGGCAGAGAATAGACAGGAGAGATTACTTAATACTTTTCCCATCTGCCATTTCCCCATTTCAATTTCCCCCCAGCTTAGTGGCTCATCTGCAAAGGAGGCAACTGGAGATCCATCTCAGATCTGCAGTATGTGAACAGGCCCAAGCCTGGTCTCTGTACCTCAAGACTGAGTCCCTGTAAATCTGGGCAGAGTCCATCCTGCTGTTGGTCTCAACATGCATAAAGGCCTCAACCCAACTGCCTATTTCTTTAGCTATTAATGAAACCCCAGAGAGTGATGCTTGTCTCAGCCAGCATTCAACATCCTCCAGTAGCACGTCAGCACCTCTTTCCTAGAACTATTTGCAACCCCTCTAAATGTAAAGTACTCCATGCCAAGGTTCATTTTGAACAGGGTGGATGAATTCGATCCAGCCCACTTGCCCTAGATGAAAGGCTTCCTTTAATTAAGCCTTTCTTATTGTCCCTCTCCATTCAAGACTCTTGAGAAGGATAAGTGGGGAAGAAGCCTCGGTCATCCTCATAGCCTCTCAATGGAATGGACTCCCTCGGGAGGTTGTGGACTCCCCTTCATTGGAGGTTTTCAAGCAGAGGTTGGATGGCCATCTGTCATGGATGCGTCTCCACCCCCATTATTCAGCCCAGACACTGAGGTCCAGCTCTGAGGGCCTTCTGGTGCTTCCCTCATTGCAAGAAGTGAAGCTACATGGAACCAGGCAGAGGGCCTTCTCAGTGGTGGCGCCCACCCTGTGGAACACCCTCCCATCAGATGTCAGGAAATAAACAACTGACTTTTAGAAGACATCTGAAGGCAGCCCTGTTTAGGGAAGTCTTTAATGTTTGAAGTTTTATTCTCTTTTTAGAGTTCTGTTGGGAGCTGCCCTGAGTGGCTGGGAAAACAGCCAGATGGGTGGGGTATAAAAAATAAAATATTGTTATTGTTATTACTACTATTATTAGTTGAGATTCCTGCATTACAGGAGGTTGGACTAGATGACCCTCATGATCGCTTCCAACTCTCCAATTCTATGATTCAGTGGCCCAGAAGATAGGTCAGCCACTTGTCAAATCTCAAAGACCCACTAAGAGCCTAGACCCTCAACCTACCAGACATTTTGTCTCTAGGTCTGTTGCACCCAGATTCTGTTTGGCTACACTTGGTGACTGACTGTACTCAAACTGGCTGTACTCAAACAAGGTGCCTGCTACAGTATTTTCATCCAGGAAACCTTAATGTTGCTTCAGACTATCTGTACTTGGGCTTGAAACCCAGTTCCCTGTGTCACCGGGTCTTGGCTCTGGTATCCAGCATCTCAAAAAAGAACATACACCTATCCTTATCTCCATCAGTTCCGGAGTGGAGCCACCATCCTTAGCCTCTTCAACTGCAGGCTGCAGTTATGAAGACCATGAAGATCACTGTTAAGGATAAATAACAGTGGTTCTTCTTTCAGTGGCTATAAAAGGGTGAGGCGGTGAGAGCCTTGAGAACTCTACATAGTTATTCCAGAACAGAGAACCTGTGCCTTATCAGCAAGCTAAGGTGGAGATAAGGATAGGTTCGCAAGAGCTATCAATGCTTTTTTATATGGTTAGAGTCACTACACAGAGATCTAACATTCGTTCAGAAAGCGAACTCAGTCTCCTATCCATCACAGCAAGGTAGTCTATTATTGTTGGCTGGTTAATATCCTATAGCCTGTTAAATATGTCTGTAGGAAGAGGGGGTTGTTTTGTTTTGCTTTGTTTTGTTTTGTTTTGATTATTTACTTGTGTTTTATTTTGTATTTTATTCTGTGAAGTGCCCTGATATCTTTTGATGAATGGTGGTATATAATAATAATAATGTATTGTCAGAATATTTAAGCTGCTTGTGTTGTGCTTTCTCTTGGTCTTCCAGGTCGCATCTCCCTCATACATGGACATCATCCCTACCATGCAGAGATACAAGAGCACATCAGGTGACCCTCGAAACCTAACGCAGAGAAGATACTGATTTGGTCTAACAGAGGCTATTGAACTGGGATCTATTTTAATATATTCTCAGCTGCTATCTTTGTAACATAATTATTTGCAACATGCCTTAAATGCTATTAAAAACAACTCAAACAAAATAAAAGATGTAACGCAAGTATTGATTGCTTGTTACCTAGTTTACCTTTAGGGCAAAATATAAATTTTTTAATATGCACTTTATTGTAAAATATATTGTATTTTTTTAAAAGAATGGAATACCTCACTTTTAAATGAGTGCTGTTGTTTATAAATTTACTGTACATTTTTAATTAAAAAGAAATTATTTTGCTATTGATTAAAAATTATGTATAAGTTCATCTCCCAACTTTATTGCTTTCATTAACTGCTAATAAATTTCTACTACATTTGTAAAAGGTATGTTGTAGAAAATGATAATCAATTATCTGCAGAGCTAACCAGGTTAATAGTTTCATAATGGTTCTACTCCTAGATTCAGAAAACAATACTTTAAAGTCATAATAATGATAGTTTGCTCAAGCAGCTACTTACTGCATCTCTCTACTCAGTGTCCTAAAAGAAAAATGATATGGCTCACTGAATAACTTGAAGATAACTGAACAATGGTGAAAGGTTTTGGAACATCACTTGTTTCAACTCCCATAAATTTTAGTGCTGAAATTTACCCTACATTTTCAATCACTTTTTAAAACTTGTTTTTATTTCGACATGCCATTTTTTACATGTAAGTATATTCCTGAATGAAACAAACATATATCTGTAGAGTCAGAATGGATGTACCAGTCTGTGAGAGGTTTTATCCCAATACAGGAAAGGATTGCAATTGGGAATCCAGGACACTGCATGACAAAGTGAGAAGCCCTGACGGCTTAAGGGTTTTCATGAAAGTACTGGCATTTCTGTGGCAATTGAAGACTATGGAGAGACTGGTGGTAATCTTCAAAGATACAAGTGTTTCCTAAGAGGGAATGTGGATTGGTTGTCCTGGTCTTCTGTATACAATGTGAGAAATAATTAGAACGAATGGAACCACTCCCATTTAGGATTTGTGTGTGTTTAAACTTTAGACTAAGTAAATCCCATTTTATGGCCCTGAGAGGCTCCCAAAATGACTTACAAATTGGAAGGATATTTCTAGCTTTCCAAGAAAGATTTGAGGAGACCCTGGACAAAGTGCCCTCTTGTGGAGCTCCTAATCTATCGGTGAGCCCTGGCAGCAGTGTCATGTAACAATGCTTCAAACACCACCTGACAGCTGCCATCTCAGTTTTCTACAATGCTGCAGGCTGATGATACATTGGGGAAAATTAAAATGGTAACTGGACCCAGCCACTCAGAGCACTAGACCAGGAAAACAAATTCAAGGATACCATAGGTCAGGCAACCCCCTGCAGCTGCCCAAGAATGTCTGGTGCTGTTGCCAACCGTGTGTCCGAGCAAAATAAGGAGGCAGATAGACTGCAAGTATGACATAGTTTACAGCATAATGTAAGAGCATACATACGTTCCAAATACGATACAGTTCTGTAAAATTGTCTCCTATTAGGAAAAACGGATATCTTTGCAGATGATCGATTACTATCCTTTCTCCAGTCCGCAACTCAAAAGAGTGAGAAACCATAGCTCCCTTCCAAAACACATCCTCTAGATCTAACATACAGAATAAACGTTTCCCCTTTTCTCAAGAAAAAATCTCATATTTGTCTTTTTTTGCCATATAAGTCAATTTTGCCAGAACTCGCAAGTCTTTACCACACTTCCAGCATCTTCACTGAATAGTTCTTACTGCTTTTTTTGTATTCTGCAACCTACTTGTGCTCTTTTTTCTAAAAATAATATTTAGGGGTACGCTTCTTTTGACTCAAGAAAATGACTATTTTAGAGTACGGATCGGGGAAAATAAATGCAGTAAATGGACCAAAGTACAAAGATTCACAAAATGTATGCGCATCCCCATGTCCCCCCAGAAAAAAGCACTGCACCTACTCATCAATTTATAACACCTTTTTCTTACTGTCATATTCAGTGAAGAGACCTTATAGCTTGCTCTCTGAGAATATTGTCTGAGACGTCAAAAATACTACAGCTTTTTGTTTCTTCAACATTTCTGACTTTCCTCTGCTAATGCCATTATTTCATGTTCTTGTATTTCAGCAGTTTTCTGAGGGGAAAATACCGTAGATTGAAAGCTTATCATTTATTTTGTTGTTGGTTTTGCAATGCAACATTCACTGCATAGGTTTTAGTTTTGCTCCAGAAAAAAATAATGCTTCATGTCTGGGCAGATTATAATTCTTTCCAAGATACCTCTCTCAAATAAAAGCTTTGTCCCCATTGCTTTTCTTACGTTGGCTTCTCAGCTTACATTTTGTACTGCTGATCAAATTGACACAGAACTCAAGTTTATCCTTCTTCAGTGTGATGCAGCACCTTCTAGCCCAATTCTAAACCTGATTTATTGCAAACCTTATTTATTGTTGCTTTACACAAGCTTATCTACTTACAAATAACAGCAAAATAATAGAATCTTAGAACTGTAGAGTTAGAAGGGACCCTGAGGATCATCTAGTCCAGGGGTGTCCAAGCTTTTTGCAAAGAGGGCCAGAGTTGATGAAGTGAACATGCATGAGGACCGACCAAAGTTGAGCTTTTTTTAAGATTTAAGTTGCTGAGCTTTTTTTTTTTTTTTTTTTTTTGAATTTTACCCCAGGACATATACTGCCACAGGGGCCGGATTAAATGGAACGGTGGGCCGGATTAGGCTCCCAGAATGGACTTTGGACATGCCTGATCTAGTCAAATATCCAGCTGTCCCATTCAGAGATCAAAACTGCAACATTGGCATTATCAGCACCACACTCTAACCAAATGAGCTATTCTAGGGTTTTACCAATTTCCGCCTGGACACTGCAGTATTTCGGATATGTATGGCAACCCTAAAGGCATTCAGTACAAATGCACAATACAGTGGTACCTCGGGTTAAGTACTTACCGTATTTTTCACTCAATAACACGCAACAGACCATAACACACACGTAGTTTTTAGAGGAGGAAAACAAGAAAAAAAATATTCTAAACGAAATAGTGGATATATGATTTTTGTGGTTCATGCTGTGGCCACAGACATGTGATCTGACAGTGAGTTTGGAGTAGCCCAATGCAAAAATCCTGAGGATCCATGTGGATCCATGCTTTGTAACCACGGAGGAGGGAAGGAAGGGGAACCATGGGTCCTCTGCTCACGACTGCAGCAGATCCCCCCCGCCACCCGCAGGCATTCGCTTCATAACACGCACAGACATTTCCCCTTACTTTCTAGGAGGAAAAAAGTGAGTGTTGTGGTGCAAAAAATACGGTAATTCGTTCCGGAGGTCTGTTCTTAACCTGAAACTGTGCTTAACCTGAGGTACCACTTTAGCTAATGGGGCCTCCTGCTGCCGCCCCACAGCTGGAGCCCGATTTCTGTTCTTATCCTGAAGCAAAGTTCTTAACCTGAAGCACTATTTCTGGGTTAGCGGAGTCTGTAACCTGAAGCGTATGTAACCTGAAGCGTATGTAACCTGAAGCGCATGTAACCCGAGGTACCACTGTACAACATAAGAAAATCAAAATAATTCAAGGCAAAGCACAAGGCAAGGTAACCAAGCATGACTTAGGCCCATTAATTTTAGTGGAAGTAATAATAATAATAATAACAACAACAACAACAATAATAATAATTTTTATTTATACCCCGCCCTCCCCAGCCAAGGCCAGGCTCAGGGCGGCTAACAAGCAATAATAAAAACAAGTTGAATGAATAAAACTTAAAAACAAAACTAAAATACAACATTAAAATATTGAAACATTAAAATATTAAAATGTAGCCTCATCGCAGGAGGAGAAAGGAAAAGAAAAAAGAAAGAGGGGGAGGGAATCAAATTGGCTCCAAGCCAAAGGCCAGGCGGTATAAGTATAAGCCAGTAAGCTTGTGAATACCAGTTGCTAGAAACTGCAGGATGAGAGAGTGCTGTTTGCTCAAGTCCTGCTTACATCCTTCCCATTGGTATGATCTGATTGGCCAATGTGAGAACCGGATGCAGAATCAGATGGACCACTGGCCTTATCCAGAAGGCTCTTCTTATGTTCTTACTACTTTTGCGTCATGGTTATTCAGAATCCTCGGGTTATTCCTAGGTTCCTAGATTTCAGAGTTTTTAATCTCTCATCTGATTGTGATATGAATCTTTCAGTCAACACTTTTGTCACTTTCAGGGCATCAATCTAATGCCTTTTAAATGGAATAGCAGAGGAAGAATAAATCAGTCATGAGCTAGAGCATATATTTTTAGCTGATGTCTGCACTGAGATTCTGATACCTGATTGGAGCATATTATTTATTACACCTTCATTCATTCATTCCAAGGGCCTAAATGGCTGCCAACTTGCTTGAGGGTTTATTTTTAAATGGTTCAATTAAATCTCTTTGCACTCTCCACATTTCAAGGTCTTATCCTGGGTTAAATGGAGGGAACTGGGTAAAAGGCCTTTCTTAAAACACACACACATATATAAAACATATATTGGTCCTAAGTATCTTGCAAAACCCGATTCTCAAAGACTGACTTTGGAACAAGAGAAGCTTCCAGAAGGAAGGTGTGTCATTTACCTGGTATTCAACTGGCTCCAGGGAAAATCCTTACTCTGCAAGGAATGATTTTTTTTTCTCATTAGAAAAATATAAAGCATTTCAAAGGGTTTTCTTACTATTCCTTCAACAGCCTCTTAGAACAGGGATAGCTAAGTCTCTTTAGCCTGAGGGCTGCATTCACTTTTGACCAACCCAGGGGTGGAGGGCAACACATACCAGTGGTAAAGGTAAAGGGACCCCTGACCATTAGTTCCAGTCGCGGACAACTCTGGGGTTGCGGTGCTCATCTTGCTTTACTGGCTGAGGGAGCCAACGTACAGCTTCCGGGTCATGTGGCCAGCATGACTAAGCCACTTCTGGCAAACCAGAGCAGCGTACGGAAACGCCGTTTACCTTCCCGCCGGAGTGGTACCTATTCATCAACTTGCACTTTGAGGTGCTTTCGAGCTGCTAGGTTGGCAGGAGCAGGGACCGAGAAACGGGAGCTCACCCCGTTGCGGGGATTCGAACCACCGACCTTCTGACTGGCAAGTCCTAGGCTCTGTGGTTTAACCCACAGCGCCACCCAGAGCTATAGCTCCTCCCTAAAAAGCCTGTGGAGCTGAGAAGACCTAACAGACTGAGCAGAGGATGACATTTGGTTCCCTCTGTTTTATAACACTTCATAAACTTTCTTTGAACCAGTGTAAACAACAGACAAAGAAAACAGGATTTTGCAATAAAAGCTATTTTTGGAAAAGCTGGACAAAGAAACTGCAGGGCTTCCTGCTCAGCAGTTAAAAGAAGCAGTAGGAACACGCTTTGGAACATAGGAACATAGAAGGCCTCTGTGTACTAAGTCAGGCCATTGGCTCATCTAGTTCAGTATCATCTACACTGACTGGAAGCAGCTCAAGAGTTTCAAGCATGGGACTTTCTCAGCAGTAGCTGGAGATGCCAGGGATTAAATCTGGGGCCTTCTGCATGCATTTACCATTAGACCATGTCCCTCCCCTTTGCTTGCAGGATCCTCTTATCCCTATAGTTCAGGTGACCCAACCCACCCCAATTCCCCACTAGTCCAAAGAGTTAGCTGTGAAATCTGCAAGTGTGAGTGTAAGAAGAGTATTATTCTTATTACAGTCATACCTTGAGTTGAATGTGCTTCGGGTTGAGCGCGGGTTTTGCCGCTCGCGCATGCGCAGACACTCAAAATGACATCACACGCATGCGCGGAAGCGACGAAACGCGACCCGCGCATGAGCAGACGCACCATCGCGTCTTGCGTTCCGTTCGGGATGCGAACGGGGCTCCGGAACGGATCCCGTTTGCATCCCGAGGTACCACTGTATTATTCTTTCACTCTATTCTTCCTCCCACAGAAGCCCAGGGTGGCAAAGCAGCCAAACAGTGGAATTAACAATAAAACAAACAAAAACAGTTAAAAACCATTAAGAGCATCTAAAAGTATTTTAATACAGCCGCATATCTGCACAGAGAATACTGCCGAGGTTGCTGGAAACAGTCTCTTCCAGCCATCACCTTTTGAGTGAGCATGTTTGAATTCCTCCTGAATGTTAATAATGAGGGAGATAGGTGCACTTTACTAGGGAGGACAGTTCATAAATGGGGGGCCACCCCTGAGAAGGCCCTGCCGTGGGTCAGCACCAAGCAGGCAGCGACCAGAAGCGGCAAAGTGTCCTCCACCACAGCTGCAGAAGACACACAACAGGGAAGCAACAGAGCCCTGGTGTTAACAAGGTCAAGGGTAGCTCTGAAGTTATGGAGATCTGAATGACCCAGGACCCTTCTGTGGAAAAGCACCCACATGCATGCAATAAGGCTGACGGTGTGTGTGGTTAGAATGCATATCAGATGTGGGGGGGGGAGGCTACTTAATGCCATCCCTTGACTCTCACTTGTAATTTTAAGGTGTAAGTGGGGGTTGCCTAACCCCCATGACTAGGTGGAGTAGCTAATTATGGGGGCAATTTGGGGAAGGGAAGGAGCCAAATGGCAGTTGGTCCCAGCCAATAAGGCGTAGGGGACCTTTCTGTGCCACCCTTCTGTCTGACAAAGCAAGGTATAATAGCCACTGATGGAAACTCAGGGTCGGCGTATATGAAAGTAAGTGATGGAGGACGGAAACCCAGGTGAGTTTTGAAGTGTACAGATTGAGCAGCTTCTGCAGGAAGACAACGTTTTAATTTATTTCATTCATTTCTCAACCACCCTTCCCAAGACAACAATTATAATAAAACCAAATAAATAAAGGTAAAGGGACCCCTGATCATTAGGTCCAGTCGCGGACAACTCTGGGGTTGCGGCGCTCATCCTGCTTTATTGGCCGAGGGAGCCGGCGTACAGCTTCCGGGTCATGTGGCCAGCATGACTAAGCTGCTTCTGGCGAACCAGAGCAGTGCACGGAAGCGCCGTTTACCTTCCCACCGGAGCGGTACCTATTTATCTACTTGCACTTCGTGCTTTCGAACGGCTAGGTTGGCAGGAGCAGGGACCGAGCAATGGGAGCTCACCGCGTCGCAGGGATTCGAACTGCCAACCTTCTGATCAGCAAGCCCTAGGCTCTGTGGTTTAACCCATAGCGCCACCCGCATCCCTATTAAAAACTGATTTCCTGTTTCCTTGAATCCCACCTGAGGGCTGCAAGAATCCCACCTTGCAGGCTACACCTGCAAGAACAGGTGTAGACTCACCTGTGCTTCCTGCCAACATCCTACACGTGCCCTTCCTTGGCCTTTCACCTCCTAAGGATCTGGAACAACCAGCTGGAGAAGTAAACACACCCTGACTCAATGGCTGATCCGGCAGCTGACACAATGACTTGAGTGGGCGAAGCCTCTTGCATCTGATCTATATCTCCAAAGCTCTACAATATCTGTTCCTGTACATTATTCTTATAGAACACAATGTTCCAACTCCTTTCTGTGCAAGAAAGTAACTGCTGGAAGCCAGTTGCAGCTGCAACTGCTTCAAGTGCCACTCTGATGATGCCCGAATCCATGATGACCATACTTACGTGGGATGAGCAAATTGATGGACATAACTATACCAGCAACCTCACAGGAAAAAGCTGAAATTCTAATCAATCTGTTCCTAACTGTGCTTAACGTTTATACCACCAGATCATCCCACTACCTATTACTCAGAAGTAAAAGGTAAAGGACCCCTGTACAGTTAGGTCCAGTCAAAGGCGACTATGGGGTTGCGGCACTCATCTCGCTTTCAGGCCGAGGGAGTCGGTGTTTATCCACAGACAGCCTTCTGGGTCATGTGGCCAGCATGACTAAACCCAGGCATAGCCAAACTCGGCACTCCAGATGTTTTGGGACAACAGTTCCCACCATCCCTAGCTAACACGACCAGTGGTCAGAGATGATGGGAGTTGTAGTCCCAAAACATCTGGAGGGCCAAGTTTGCCTATGCCTAACTAAACCACTTCTGGCACAACTGGACACCGTGACAAAAACCAGAGTGCACGGAAACACCATTTACCTTCCCGCCGCAGCGATACCTATTTATCTACTTGCACTGGTGTGCTTTCAAACTGCTAGGTTGGCAAGAGCTGGGACGGAGCAATGGGAGCTCACCCCGTCACGGGGATTTGAACTGCTGACCTTCCAATCAGCAAGCCCAAGAGGCTCAGTGGTTATGACAACAGTGCCACCCGCATCCCTACAGTGAGGCATGCTTTCAATGAAGCATGCATTGGATTGCTGCCTTAAAAAACCCTTAGTCATGCTGGCATTTTGCTTACTTTGCTAGCATGACCGATACCACTGAGCATCAGCCCAAATCAATCCAATTAAAATGTTACCAATCCCATGGAAGGAGGAGGAGATGGGGAGAGAGAAATACTGAGTCAGGCTGTACGTGCCAGTCAAACAAAACTGGAGTAAAGGGTATATACAAAGAAACCAACAAAGTTTGTTGCCTCATTCAGAACAGGTTATGAATGACAGGGATGAGTGCAGTGGGCTTGGTAGAGGGCAGTGGCATACACCCTTAGTAGTAATGATCAGGAACAGGTTGGGGGGTGGAATAGGCCACAGGTGATGGTGTATGCAGAAAGTGCTGAAACGCTTCCACATTGACTCTGTATATAATAATGATGCTACTGCCAGTGTTTACTAACACTCATCAGGAAGACTCGTATGATAGTTATTTAATTTGTGCATGCTGAATTGCTTTCATGGTGTGTCTGATTTTCATAGTGATGAATCATTATGTATATTATTTTGTTTGTTTCATAAAACGGATACACCACTTGCTTGTAAAGACAACAAACAACCTCAAAGCGGTTTACAAAAGATAAAACAGTAAAATCAGGGGGGAAACCATAGAATCTTAGAAGTGTCCAAAGGGTCATTGAGACCACCCCCCTGCAATGCAGGACTCTCACATATGACTGACAGATGGATACCCAACCTCTGCTTTAAAACCTCCAAGGAAGCCGAGTCCACCACTTTTGGAGGGAATCCATTCCATTGTCGAACAGCTCTTACTGTCAGAAAGTTCTTCCTGATGTTTAGCCAGAATCCTCTTTCTGGTAACTTGGAGTCACTGGTTTGGGTCATATCCCCCAGAGCAGGAGCAAATAAGCTTGCGCCATCTTCCATGTGACGGCCCTTTAGATGTTTCAAAATAGCTCCTCTCAGTCTCCTCTTTTCCAGGCTAAACATACCCAACTCCCTAAACTGTTCTTTCTTCTGACAACTCTCAGAATTTTTTGCTTCAAAACATACAAAAGGTAAAACACTCATGCAGATTAAAATTACCTCAACTTTCTAAGCACCTGGTTAGGCTTGTCTAAACAGCAATGTTTTTAGCAGGTGCAGAAAAGCGTACAGTGAAGGCGCCTGCTTGGTCTCAATAGGCAGGGGATTCCAAAGTGCAGGCGCTGCCACACTAAACCTGCAAATGTGTGTGTGTGGCAATACTTTTATTAAGACCAACTAGAATGCCACAAAACAGTGAGCAAAAAGCTGGCTTGATGTTCATGTCATAAAATCAAGATGGAGTATCAGCTAAGGATTAGCCGCGAAGCTAAAAAAATATGAAAAAGTCAAAGAAGTCCACAATATTTTGCAAACAAATCCTCAGTAAAGATATGCTCCCTGATTTCTGAGGTTTCTAAACTTACAAATAGGTGTCGCACCTGTAGCAGCGCCAATTACACCAATGGAAGTGGCCGAGTGTGCCCATCATGTGCTATTGTGAGCATAATAGACATACAGACATAATAAATGTGATTGTTAGTCGCTGTGTAAAACATATATAACAATGACTAACCAAAACAGGCGTGTGCATATATATCTTAAAGACTAATGAGAACACAGCAACACACAAATACGCACACACATATATACATTGAGAGAGAGCGACCAAAACTTCCTAAATGGCGAAGTATTTCCATCCACTTAAATACGGAGAAAATAGCTCGGCCGCCCCGCTCCCTACACCCCCCACCAGCTGATTGCAGATGTTAAATCTCCTGCGTTGCAGAAGCGGAACCATTGTCACCGGGCTGCTTGTTTCCTGGGGGGGCTAAAAAAAAGTGCAACGCTGAGCGGCTAGCAAGAGCGCGTTGCCATGGGAACCGCCCGCGTCCTGCAGAAGCGGCGATGGCCGCCTACGGGGAGGAAGGCGGGGAGCCCCGCTACGCTTTCCATCACCTCCCGCAAAAAAGCTTTCCAGTGCTGGAGAGCAGGGACACCCGAGACCGCCTCCTCAAGTGGTGGGGAGAAGCGGCCATTCCTTCTCCGGTTTCTCAGGCGTGCGGGGGGGGGCAGGGAAGGGGGAGGGAAAAGTGGGGTGAAAGTGCAAGATGGGGGTCAGTCTTCTGGCTAGAGGCTGCCCTCAGGATTGTGGTAGGGCAAGGTGCGTTTCAGGATCAGGATTTAATCGAGAGGCTTCACTGCTGTAATTGGAAATCTTTCAGCACCAAATCCACCTCTGCTCCAGAACTTAAATCACTTTTTCAAAAAATAAAATAAAATGCCCCGTTAAAGATTCTTTTATCATCATTTTTTTACAGTGCGGAATCCCCTCATGCCTATTATTATTACATGAAGAATACAAGCCTGACGGACTTCTTTTTCTACATTCCGCAGGTCCATGGATGGCAGAATCGCTGCACAGGCATTCAGCTTTGATCAGAACTTCAAAGGCTACCAGAGGGATGATTTCATTATGGTAGTTAACCTAATCTGGTTTATTAGTCTAAAAGTGGGTTTCATACAGTTGGGAGGGACACCTAAGGGTCATCTAGGCCGACCCCAGGAATCGCATCCAAGACAGTCATCCAACCTCTTGTTTAAAAACCTCCAGTGAATGAGAGAGTCCACCAGCTTTTGAGGTAGTCTGTAGATTTATAGGGCACTTTGGAATTTTGATTAAAATGTTCAAAGTGGTGTGTAGTAAATATTACTAAAACGGAAGCGGCATTAAAATATCAAATTGCTAGAAGCACAACAGGGCAAAACAGCAGCATGCATTATTTTAAATACAACCCTGGTTTTATAGACTGTTTGTTTAATTTGTGATATACAGTTGCATTTTTAAATTTTAGTTTTTCGGATATTTCATTGAATGTGGTTGTGTTTTTCTTGTTTTTATGTATACTACTTAGTGATTTCTATTATATTAAGTAAGACAACATGTTTATTTATTTTTAAAATACTTGTTTCTCATTTCCCACAATACTTTTTTTTGTTTGTTTGTTCACAAGAGTGCTTCTACAGGTCATTCCCATAATGTATGTGTGTTTTTTAAGGGGAATAATATATCCCTGTGTGAACTTGCAAACTGATTGTGTTTGCTCAGAAGCAGCTGGGCAGACCTGTCTCATTTATAAATAGACATGGGTATAAATCCTTCTCACGTTCCAGACTTTTATCAGTGGAGTGACTTGCAGCAGTATTTCCATGAACAAAAACCCTAATTTGGTCAGCAATCTTGAATTTCAGACATTTGGAGAGGATTAGACAAATTTACAGAGGATGAAGCTGTCAATGGTTACTAGTTATTATGACTATGTAGCACCTGATGGGTCAGAGGCAGCATGTCACTGATGAACAACAACAGGAAGGGGCTGTTGTCCTCATGTCCTACTCGGGGGCTTCCTATAGACATATGTTTGGCTAGTGGGAAATATAGGACTGGTGGACCTCTGGTGCAGGGCCCCTTTATCGTCTTAAATCAAGCCAAAGCCACCTTATTTGATACATGCATCAAATTGGATAATAGAATCTGTTTAACTGCCAATTGTTATTGACTCTACTTCCAGGCCTTTTTTAATCATCCAGATGTTAACAGCAATTTGAAATTGATTTCCCCTTCTGGACAATGGACTACATTAGGTAAAAATAACAACTTTGAGACAACTTCTCTTTTAAATCCGTTTTCAGTGTGATAATTCCTTTTCCTCTGCAAAATGACTTGCTGATTCTAATGATGGTGTGATTGGTAGCGGTTATTTATATATTGCTTTTCAGGATACAGATCCTTCCAACACAGCTTATACCAAAGTAGCATGAAGATACATTCATAAAATGACAATGAATCATATTAAAAGATTGTTAAATATTAAGTAACAATAATCAAACTTTTATTTAAATACCTACTGTTGCTTGTGGTCTGTTAAAACAGTTTACCGTTGAAAGTTGATGTAAAATGTATTAAACTTATATGATGAACATTACTGCCTGCATTTGCAGACATTAATGCATTGCCAGCTGTTTCCCTTTCATCTTAGTCTCTTCAAAAAAGTTCCTGATTTATTTATTTTTAAGATAGCCTTTAAGGTTTTTGGTTTTTTTTTTGAGAGACTGAGTAAAAGTACCTCCTTCTGCAATGACATCTTTATTGCTTCCTTTTTGTGGTTTCCTCAGCTTTGATACTACTGAATAAATAATTTTATATGAGCTGTTCATAATTATTTCATAATTGAAAATTGGGCAAGAGAACACTTGCATATTTCCTGTTCATTCCAGTCCAGTGAACAGAAGTTCTAAGAAGTTCCAAGCTGATCATACCCAATGTGAGCTTGTTACATTTGCATACTGCTCTTCCTCAGGGCAACATTTTAGCCTGTGGTTAGACTGAGAGATAAGTGATCTACAAAGGCCACCCTACTGGGAATGGAACTACAGTACTTACAAAGAACATGAGAATGCTGTTGAAAATGGTGTATCTATGTAACCCCCCTTCCACCCCATAGTGTCTAGTTCCACCTACCCTGTGTCCTCACATCACAACATTTCACATTTCCTCACGCCTGCACCATTTCATTGGCTGCTTCACATTAAAATAACTTCACTATCTGCTGGACTAGACATTAGGGAAGAGGGAAGAATTCTACACCAAGTTGGGGGTTTTGCCAACTTTTGTATGCTTTGTGACCTGCTTGCAATTGCGTTGGAATTTATCTTGCTTTCTCTTCACTAAACTCTATCCCTATTCCACCACACTGGGTTTAAAGGTAGTCATATTTTTCGTATGTAGTAATTTGGGAAACATTTCAACAGGTTTAAAATGTTCCAAATTAAAATGTAACCTTGATAGTATTAAGCCACTTTGTTCAGATATGAAAATATAATCTTGCAGATTCGTAAATGCTATTGTGATTGTTCATTTGATTTCTGCCATATGTTTCAGATACCAGTGTGAGAAAAATTGATGTCAAGAATATTCTGTGCAAGCAAGTTTCCATGTCATTTTTTGACCGATTATACTGTAAAGGGGTTGTTCGAGAAAGTGGAAGCATTGTAAAGTGTTTTGATGAATATCACGATGATATTCTCATTGCTGATGAGTTAAGAAAGGTTAGTGCAAGTGTAGTTAACATCTGTCTTCTGTCTATTATTATTTTATAGTTTAATTATCATTTATTAGTCACTTTTTCTTGCCAGGGCAACCACATAGTTATCACAGCTAATATTGATAGCCTCCATATGGATCTTGTATTCATAAACAGCACTAAATCCCAAAGTGTTTCCTTTCAATTTTGCTATCATCTGATGATGTCAGCATGTAGTTTCAGAGAACTGCATTTTGCAGCCAGTTTTATTACATATTGCGAAATATACAAGCCTTTTAGGCTTGGAGCATACTCATACTCCTCCCTTTGACCAATTGTGGTGCAGAACAAGAAATTCACTTGCTCAGTTCCTTTTTGCCTCCGCAGAGTCAAAACCTGCTTGAGGTTCAGGAAGTGTTTCTATGTCCAAAAAAAGCTCTTCGTGATAAAATTATAACACGCTACTGCATCTTGACTGATGGTTACCTGCCTTGGTTTTGTGGGCTGGTTTATATAGACATTGCCCTTGAGGAAGACTGATAACTTAAGGTGTGCTAGAGCAGTGAATAGCCTGTGGCTCTCTAGATGTTGTTGGACTTAAGCCAGTGGCAGACTTTGGGCACGGTGCAATGCTAAAATTCAGCACCCTCCACCTCTAATGTTCCATTCTATAGCATTGTTTTGGCACCCCCTGCAGCGCAGTGCCTAATGCAACCACACCAGTCACGACACCTGTCAGGACCCAATGTCCGTGATGTTAACTCTTTATTCAGAGAAACAAAACAGATCAGTCTTAGTGGTCACAGCAATGCTTCCCAGTCTTGCCCTAATAAAGCTGCTGCAAGGATTGCTTCCCACCACTCTCTAGGGCTCCTTCCCTGGTTCCATCCTCAGCAAACTGATGCTCCATCGCCTTTTATCTCATTGCTCCACACTTTTCATTTCTCTGCGTGTTCTGGGAGACGGCAGTAGGAAACTGGTCGCAGCAGGAGGGGGAGACTCCCTGGATTCTTCAGCAGTCTGCCTCATCTCTGTCTGCCTCCCTCCCTCCTCCTCCTGCCTCAATGAGTCTGGACTGCCCTCTGCCACAGCCTCTTCCTGCCCACTAAAGCCTGTTGCCTCTTCAGCTTCCAGCACCTCCTCCTCCCAGTCTGCTCTCTCTTCTTCCTCTGACCACGCATCATCGTCCCACCATCCATCTCCCAGCTGCTGCCTCCCACTACTACTCTGCATCCAGCCAGTCCATGACACCACCCTAGAACCTCCTTTGTTTAATCATGGCAGAGGACACTGAATTTCCGGGGTGGGGGGATGTTTTCTAGCAACTGGTGACTTTTTTTGATGGGGCTATTTCCTGTTGACATGTTTCAAAGCTGATGGCAGCTGTGCAGTTTGGTCAGTGATCGGGCTAGATTGTGGTCTGGATTCCCTGCTGCAGTACTGCATACTTTTCTTTTTTTAACTATACCCAAATTAATTACCAAATTTATTGCATATATATATATATATATATATATATATAAACAGAAACCACTGGGAATACAAAATAATGTCTTTTTGTAATATAATATATAAAACATTATCCATATTACATTGCCTTTCCTCCTTGTCTCATGATAGGTACTTCTACTGGAAGATTCAGACCACTATGACTTATTTAGCCATTTAGACCGGGAGGAATTTCTCTTCTGTCTTTTTAAGCATCTTTGCCTTGGAGGAGCTCTTTGTCAATATGAAGATGAACTTGGTCCATACTTAGAAACCACAAAGGCTTTATATAAAGAACTTGTGAGGTGAATATGTTTTTGCTTTTTTAATGTGAATCTGATTTACTTACTTGTTTTACTTGTTGGTGTGATCATGGAAGGTGCTCTGGGGCAGGTTTCAGCTTTGCAATGGCATCATATATATGATCTAAGCAGGGCTGGGCAGGAAGCAAGTTTGCAATGCTAGTATAAATGCCTAGTCTATTCCTTGTCATCTTATAAGGAACAACCTTGTCCACAGAAGATATGGGTAGAAGCTGACTCCCAGGTAGAAAGCATACCCAATAAGGTTTATGAGTGTGATCCTATTCTAGCAACCTGCAAATTGAGCAGCAACATACAGAATTCCACTCCCACCCTTGCCATGGCTAGTTGGAGCACCAGTCCAAAAAGAAGCTTGGGAATAAGGGGTTCACAACATACTCTAAAAATCTTCTGGAGTCATTTTCCTCCCTTTCCTTTTCATTTCTTAATTCCACCTTTTTCTCCGTTTTTCCACTCAGATCTCCCAACACAGCTTAAAGCCATAACACCCTTAGCAAGACAGTGTTCACTCTTGGCTGCCATGACATTTTTCAATATTTTCCCACCCACTTGCTAGCCACTCTCTTCTGGAAGCTTTCCTTTCTCTTTTTCTATTATGTTTCATGTTTTTACTTGTTGTTCTACTGCTCCTTCTTTGACCCTGAAGATCTCATATGATCTTGTGTTCTATTAACTCTTTAGCTGCCAATCCACACAGTCTGTCTTGCACTGTAAGTTCTGACTGTTCCAGATGTCATTATTAAAACAGTTTATACTTTTTTGAATTTCAGTGTTCAAAAGGATCCTGAAACTAAGGAAATAAAAATAATATCTACCATTTTTAAAGTCTGCGCTTATGTAAGTATTTCATTAGGAGGAGGGGTACTAATCATATAACCAAAAATATTTTCAGATATAAATTTCAAGCAAATTATGAAAAAAGACAGTCAAGCAAACACTGTTTGGGCATGATCAAGCCACAGCAAAGTACTTTTACATCCCATTGATTTTGATGGGTGAAATTGTTGTTATAACACTAAGCACTTAATAACAAAAATTCACAGGAAATGTTATACACACAAAAATGCAACTTTCAGTAACCATAATCTTTCAAAGACCTTGTTGAAGATAAAATAATAAACAAAAATCTTTACAGATAGCTGAGAAGTCATCCAACAAAATTCTGCATCTATTGACTACTTTAGTTCAAATTTTTAGAACATTTCAAAACCATAATTTGACTTGGGTGACAAACCATGTTTCTTCTTATTGTCAAAAAAAGACATAAAATTTATTAGAAATTGTTGTTGTATTGCTTTTTCTCCTTTAAATCTTGCTAACATGTTAGTTTAGACATTGAAACAAACTTCTTATGGCCAAAATGGGAGAGGTAAACATGTGCTAGGATCACTCCCATCAAAACTAAATGAGACATAAAAGTGCATAACTTTTGCTGAACCATGAGGATTTTTCTGCAAGATTTTAAAATTATTTTTTCCTCAGTTTTTACATAACACTTTAAGAATGAGAACTACGATGGGTATTTGTACTTTTAGCTATGTTGACATCCAATATATTACAGCACTTGATTGCATCCACTATTACAACTTACTTTTGTAAATCTGAGGACCATCTTGATGTGATTGTATAAATGGATGTTGCAGATTTGGACGTAACCTTTTCTATTTACACAACAATCTTCCAAGGTAAACTGGGTATTGTGCTTATGATCAGAAAATCTATTTAAGGATACAGTTGCATTTCTGACCTGCTTCTGTTTTGGAGTTGTTCTTTGATAAATTTCTCTTCAATGTCATCAAGTGCTTGTGGGAACCCAGCCATGAGTCATTCTATCTAAGTCTGCATCCGAAAATAAGAAATAGAAAATGACAAATATTCTAGTCGTAAGACACAGGTGAAAGAAAGCTGTCTTGGTCACTCTTGCTATGTGATTTTTTAACAACAGCTGAGAATCTAACCTTAGTCCCAGAGTGCAAATCATGTAACAAATGGTTGACCACCCATCTGCAGACAAAGAGTATGATAAAAGGTTTTCTGTTTAAAATGATAGATTCTTTTATAATTCAGTGGAAACTTTGCTGAACAGGACTGTATAATAGCTATATAATGATGTTTGGCTCATCATTCTGCTAATCATCAACCCAACCCATTTCTCAAGATTTCAATCCACTGTGAACATTATTATCATTTATAGTACTGTGAGCCTTAAGTACAAATGACGCTGCTTTATACCAACACAGACCGTCAATCCATCTAGTTAAGTATTGCCTATAGTGCCAGGCAGTGGCTTTCTAGAGAGAGGGGGGTCTTTTCTAGCTGTGCCTACAGATGCCAGGGGATTAAAGTTGGCACCTGTTGCATGCAGAGCACTCCATTCCCCTCACAAAGCTACAATTCCCAGAGTGGTTGAACAATCAATGCCTCTTCCCAGCGAACTCTGGAAATTATAGTTCCGTGAGGGGAGTAGAGATCTAACAATTATCAGCAACCTTAACTATAGTTCCCAGTATTTTTTTTGAGGAAGCCATGACTCTTTAAAGTGGTATAATATTGCATTAAATGTATTGTGCAGATGGTGCCTCTGTTTAAATTATATTGGGGGTCTTCAATGATAGTCTTAGTCAGAGCAGACGTATTGAAAATAATTTCAGTGGGGCTGCTCTGAGTAGAATTAGATGGACCCAACCCAATATTTCTAACTGCATTTATACATATAAATTAGAATATGCAAATTTTGTGCACACCTGTTTCCAATTTTTGCCCTCTTTCTTCCTTGGGCAATGGACAATGCAGTAAGTGGGGGGGGGGGATTCTATTTTGCCTGGCCACAAACATCTTCAGATACCAGAATTTCAAGGACTTTACATAGACTGAACACATTTCTCAAAAAGGCAAATCAGACAAAGAATTTCATTTTAATCTATGGTTTTAAAAGTATTCCGCTATGGGGAAAAGCAAGGTATTTTTATGGCTTCCATGTCAAACTGGATTTCAATATAGGTAGCCTCAAATAAAATGCAGACCTATAGAATTTTAAATGCTGCCAATCAGATAAAGAAAGCCCATTAAAAAAAACCAGTTTCTCCTTTTTTAAGGACTAGCATTTGCCTTTCTAAGTAGCATGTGAAAATGCCCTTAGTTTACTTCCCTAAGGAAAGAGAATGATAGCCACTTATTTGTAGTTTGCATGTCAATGAGATAAAAAAACGGAGTTGCATACCCTAATGGTTATACATCTAAGAAAAACTTAAGAACAGCTTTAGAAATTGTGAGACACTGTAAAACTCTTAAGTTAGATTCAGTAAAAGATAATGATAATATTTATTTATTTATTTATTTATTTATTTATTTATTTATACCCCACCCATCTGGCTGGGTTTCCAGATTCAGTTGATATGAGGGTTAGAAGATAACACTAGTATTTGAGGTTTGGTTTTGCAAAAACAGAGTACCTCTACAGCTATAGATTTTGCATTTCCCTAAGCAAAACTTTGATTTGGATACTGCTAAAATCAGCACCCAGCGTGCCTGAAGAACCAGCATTTTGATAGTGTGCACAGCTAGCAGATTTGAAGTTCAGAGTTAATTTATTTTACTCTGTCTCTACCAAAAGGTCCAATGCAACTAGCAAACTTGATAATAAGATATCAAAACCTTCTATTGCAAAATGTATAAAAGGTATAAAAGCCATGAGATAAGACATAAGCTATAATAATAGGAAAAGGCCATGTTAATCAAAATGGTAACAGATGAGTATCCTTAAAAGAGCTACCAAAAGAGTTGTAGAAAGGCATCTCTAAAGAGGATGACCTTTGCCATCCAGCAAAACACCATAAGAGGAGGGCAACCAAAATGGTCAAAGGCCAGGAAACGATGCCTTATGAGGAACGGCTAAGGGAGCTGGGCATGTTTAGCCTGGAGAAGAGGAGGTTAAGGGGTGATATGATAGCCATGTTCAAATATATAAAAGGATGTCATATAGAGGAGGGAGAAAGGTTGTTTTCTGCTGCTCCAGAGAAGCGGACACGGAGCAATGGATCCAAACTACAAGAAAGAAGATTCCACCTAAACATTAGGAAGAACTTCCTGACAGTAAGAGCTGTTCGACAGTGGAATTTGCTGCCAAGGAGTGTGGTGGAGTCTCCTTCTTTGGAGGTCTTTAAACAGAGGCTTGACAACCATATGTCAGGAGTGCTCTGATGGTGTTTCCTGCTTGGCAGGGGGTTGGACTCGATGGCCCTTGTGGTCTATTCCAACTCTATGATTCTATGATAAGAGGGATCAGTAGTATTTCTACTATTATTTCTCATGACAGAATGTCCTTACCCAACGCTGCACCCTCCACTTATTTTTATACTACTGTATTTAATATAATATGGTGTAGCCATTTCTATTTTAAAGTGTATGTGTATTTGTGTGCGTGCATGGGGGCGGGAGGCGGGGAAATAAGAAACTGATGTAAATGGGCAGCAGTTTTGTCCCAAATAATCAGGAATAATTATAGTATGTAGCAAAAACTTACTCAGATTTGTTAGCATAGTAGTAGAGTTAGATTCAGGAAACCCATAATTAGGAGCAACTTAGCAATCTGTTTAGAATGTTCCTTTGACCAATAGGGCCTAAAAAGACTTGTGTGACACTCAAAGAGACACTGCATCCTTCTTGGTCTTACCTGCAAAGTCAAGAAACCCAGATCAGCACTGTTGCTCTCCCTGATTCCCCTACTAAAAACTAATTTACTGCATTGGCCCGAATATAAGCCACACCCGAAAATAAGCCACTCCATTCCTCGCTGCTCCTGGCTGCATACTGGTGTGTGTGTGTTAGGATTCATTCCCTGTGCTTGCAGTCATGGGATTGTTTTTATCACATGACGGTGTATGTTTTCATTCCACATAGTGGGAAGTGACAGAGACAGGATGTTTGTATTACTGTGTTCCGTGATGTAGGACGCTTGTCTTTGTCTCTCTCTCTTTCCTCTTTGATGCTGATGAGGGAGCTCCTGGTGCTGTTTGCCCCGTGCTCCTGGCTGCAAACCGTAAGCGGCGCTTTACCTTTTCACGGTCGGAATTTGGGGGGAAAGTGAGGCTTATATTCATACCAATTCGGTATTTTTGCCCCTGCTGTTGAAAGACATTAATCAGTGCTGTAGTAGTGCTCCTTGTAGTCCCACAACTGACAGTACAGCACCTTTACCTGCAATATTTCTGGCTCTCCACTGGGTGATATTTGCCTGGAAAGGATGCTTCCATGGTCCCCTTTCATGCAGCAGTTCTTGTTAAGAGATCGAGACAGCTCTGGCTTTGGACTTAGTTCTGCCAGCACTCTCCCATTAACTGCAGTCTCTTGTCTCCTCTCCTCCTCAGCTGCCTCTGTTCCCTATATAGCAGAAATGTGTGCAGGGGAAATGTGAGACAACTGACCACTACCAGTCCAAGCCACTTCCAGCCCGGTTGTGCTGATAATCTTTTCAGATTACCTGCAGTGCAGAGCTGATGTGATGAGCCCTAATAGTATCTGATCTCCCGCATGTGGTTTACTGAAACAAGCCAAATTCAAACAGAACAGAGCCAAAGAGCTGTGCATGGGATTCCATTTAAGTCAGGCTTTGTAGTGTCCAGGATGAATTTGTATCACACATTAGTACCTTATATTAATGCTGAATATTTTGTCTTCTAGGATGCTCATGGCCTTTGTTACCCTTCATCCAACATCCATGAACAGAATTTTGCCTATTTGATTGTGAATCCTTTGAAACGACACATCTATGTTTTGTACCACTCCTTTGGTGAAGCTTGTTTTTATAATTGACTCTCTTCTCAGATATATTTGATTATTAGAGGGGTGGTTTTTTTAAAAAGTGTAACTTTAATGAATTATATTAATATTTAATAAATAATAATAACTTGTCAAGATTCTGATTTACAGTGAAATCTATTTTACCTAGACATTGGGCACTGATGTTGATTTTGCACACATGCTATTTGTATTATTGTTGAAAACTGTAAGGCCATACCAATACTTGCAGAATATATTCTCTAAAATGTTTTGGTGCTCCTGTATTGACTAATATTCTGCTGTTACAAAGTTTTCTTTTTAAAACTAGGTTGTTGCATTGATACATTTTAACTTTATTTATTTTATATTTTTAAAAAACTAGCTTAATAAATTGCTGATTGAAAAAAGAGCCTGTATTATTTCTTAAACATGTTTTGGAGTATGGAATGTCCTTCTATATTTTTCTAACTATTAAAGAGGTGTAACATTTCCAAACTCTTATTCCTGTGAGAAACAAGTCTCTTATTTTGAGATAAATGGATGCACTTTGAAAGGGATATTGTGATTCTGTCAGTCCAATTTGCAAGCTCTGATAACTTTTCTTGACTACTCTTAACACACCCTTGAAGACAGTATGGAAACTGCAGCTAGCACAAAATGGTGGTACGAGGGTACTGATTGGCACAGCCATTTAAAACCTGTTCTACAGGATCTGCACTGGCTGCCTATATTGTAGTATGTCCAATTCAAGGTATGGATGTTAAAATACAAACCCGAGAATGGCTTGGTACTTAGGCACTTGATGGAGCACCTCTTTCCATACCAGTCGGCCCAGGCTTTGAGTTTGGAAGAGGAGTGCTTTCTCAGTATCCCATGGGAGTGCTGCTCCATGTGGAGATGAAGGTTAGGACCTTCTCTGTGGTTGGCCCCAGATGTGGAACTCCTTCCTTTGGAGCAGGCTTCCTCAAACCCAGCCCTCCAGATGTTTTGAGACTACAATTCCCATCATCCTTGACCACTGGTCCTGCTAGCTAGGGATCATGGGAGTTGTAGGCCAAAAAACATCTGGAGGGCCAAGTTTGAGGAAGCCTGCTTTGGAGACACAGAAGGCAACTCAGGCTCATCAGGGATGTAGCTAACTCAAGACATTTCTGTCTTGAGGCATATGGTGGGTTTTGTTAGCCTGCTCTGGATCAAAAGGCTGTGTTGTGCTTAGAAATGGGAAGGCTTGGAAAAAAACCTGGGAAAATGGGGGGGGCAGGTTTTTCCAAAGCCGTTTTTGTTTTTGAAAAATTAAAAAAAAACAGTTGGATTTCGTTTGAATATTCCACACACTCCCCCCCCCCGAAAAACGGCTTTGGGAAAAATGAAAAAAACAAAAACAAAACTGGGTCCCCCCAATTTTTCCAGTCTCCCCCCCCCCCCAGGCCTTACCATCTCTAGTTGTACTGTAGTACTGTGCCTATTTACTGAGCTTTTGTGGGGGGTGGGGTTAACCACCATATTACTTTGATTGTATTGCTTTAACTTGCTTTATGACTGCTGTGTAAACTGCTTTGTGAGCATGTATGGTGTTAAAAGTGGCCTCTAAATATTGAAAATAAAAACCTTATGGCCTTTAATCATTATAAATAATAACAATAATAATAACAATAGCAGCACGTGGCTTTTGTATAGCACTTTCAAGTGCTCAAAGTGCTTCACAAGCATTTTCTAGTTGCAATCCTTACAACAACTCTGTAAGGTAGGTAACTTCACCGAAGAGAGTAGGATGAGATAGTTCAGGCTTGCACCGATCTGTAGTAATTTTCTTTAAACTATTTAGTATTGTTTCTCTGTATGAAAATACCCCTCCCTTTAAGGACACTGAAGGCAGGACTGCCTGTAGTAACTCACAATGTTTATATGCTGAAATAAGCTCCACTGATTTCAATGGTACTTCTTTTATTACAACTTTATTTTGGTGCTTTATTTTGTGACCTACTTCTCAGGCAGTTTCTCCTCCCACTCCTTAAAGAAACTTTTCGCCATTTGCTTGTAAACAATGGGAATTTCCTTTCAGAAGATTTCTTGCATGGCTTTGCTGACACTATTGACATGGCTGGCATATTGATGGCCAAGAGCGAGTTCAGATGGTTTCGTAACCCCATTTTATAATTAATTGCAAATATGTTTTATTTGCAAGATATAATTGCCCAGGGGTGGGGTAAATGGCTTGATGTCCCCCAACTAGGGGGGACTCACATCATCGTCATATTTGTATGCCGCCTTTCCATATTAAAACAATGCTCAGGGCAGCTTACAACATGACAAGATTTACATAATTACCAACATAACAAAAGCCATAAGCAATAAATAAAACACATCAAAAAGTACACAACCAAATGGAAAACAATTTCCACATAAATCATAAAATCTAAAACTAAGAATGCAGCATTAATATCAATCACAATTTAAAAATGACATAGATAAAAAATCTTCTGATTGTAGCAGGCCTCTCTGATCAATAGCTCATCACTGTCCAGTTGCATGGCAGATTCCCCAAGTCTACGGATGCAATCAGTTTAATATAGCTTGCAGATTATACAGTTTATACAGCCTGTTGCTGCTTTGACTGCAGAAAGCCTATGTTGTTGTCTGAAATGCTTCTAAAGTAGCCAGTCATTTTATGGATGCATTGTTTATTATTTATAAATAAAGTCTCCAGCTGTATACCCACCATCTCTGGCTGGGACTGGAAATGCCCCATTTGAAACCCCAGAAAGTTACTGCCAATAGACAGTACTCTGAGCTAGATGGTCTGAAGCTACATATTCTAAATTTTGGACTACAGGCAGTAAATTAGACAAGAATGCAGCAGAGGTTCTCACACTCCTGCCCCCTGCAGACTACTTGAAAATTACAGGCGTATCAGTGGACCATTTTAAAAAATCACTTTGTATAAATCAAAGCTGATTCATAACGTCATATTTTTAATTGCCATCTTTGCAATGCGATGGATTTGTGTATTGTGAGCAAATGCCTGTGAAGTCAAGTGTAGCACAAGTATCTGTCAGCTTGAAGTACCACTTTGCTAAAACTAAGTTTTACTCAGAGTAGGTCCATTGAAGTTAACAGACCCAACTTAAGTCATGCTCATTAATTTCAGGGGGTCTACTCTGAAAGAAAATAAAAAACTTAGTGGGATACTACTTTACCTTTTGTAACTTTTTTTTTTTAAATCGGACTGCATCAGAACCCTATTTTTAACCAAACACAAACGCACAAGGGCTTAGGGCTCTTTCTTCGCCTCTGGTCATCTGCCTTTGATCCGAAGGGCTTCAATCTTTGCTATCAGAAAAAGAAACAAACCAAAACGAAAACAGATCCACCTGAAGTTTGGGAACGTCGCGGGAGACAAGAGGCTTGCAGTGCTGTCTGCGTGTGGGCTGAAACTTTTCCTTGCACTTGTCCCCCCCCCCTCCCTACGTCCCCACCACCAGCTCCCGTGTCAAGGAGGGTGTGTGTGTGTGTGTGTGTTTGTGACTCTGGTTCTGCGAAGAGGAGCTCTGGCCTTTTTCTGCAGCCCATTTTGGGGGACGGGGAGGCGTTGCAGCAGCTTGCATCGCCGTCAAGGGAAGAAGGGGCGCCCTGATTTCTCCCTCCCCCCCCCGAAAAAGTGTGGGGTTTGGAGCCTGTGCTGTGATTAGGGTCTCGTTTCCTTCCCTCACCCCCCCCACCCGTTCTGGTGCGGGAGAGGGAGGGGGAAACCCAACCACCCCCAGCTTCCCCTCCTCCCCGTCTCCGTGGGAGGGATGGAAAACCTCTCTTTTTTAAAGCGAAGTCCTGTAAAAACCGGCGGTTGCCGGACAACATTCGCGACGGGAAACAGCAGCGCGGGCGGGCGCGTGAAACCGAGGAAACTCGCCGACCACGCCGGGGGTGCTGTGTGTATGTGTGCAGGGGGGGGGGGAGACGTAGAGAGAGTAAAAAGTGGAGTGAGGGCGGGGAAGAAGAGAAAAAAAACTGGAAGGGGCGGGGGGAGAAAGAATGTCCTCTCTCTAAAATCCAGCGCGGCCGGGCGCGAGAAGTCCAGCAGCGGGAGAAGGCGGAGGAGGAGGATCCCCCCCACCCTCGCCGGCTGGGCTGCGTTAAAGTCCCGCCGGATTCGGGGCGGGCGGGCTCTCACTGGGCGGAGCTGGCTCGGGCGGGCGCGTCTCAGAACTTTTGTTTGGCGGTGTTTGTGCGCGAGTTCGGCGGCGGCGCGCGGGACGAGATTCCTCCGAAATATATATAGAGATATATATATATAAAAGTTCTCCTTCTCCTCGCCGTGTTGGTTTGAGGGGCTGCGTCGCGCTGCTGCTGCGTGTGGAGGAGGCGCAAACTCGTAGGAACTTTTTAAAGGAGGAGGAGGAGGAGGAGGCGGGCGGGCAGCCAGAACCGGCGGCGGGGGATGCGGGACGGAGAGCGCGGAGCTGCGGCCGCTTGAGAGAGAGAGCGAGCGAGCGAGCGAGGAGTCGGTGGGGACGGGAGCCCGCCATGGACGCCGCCGGGCAGCCCCCGCAGTCGGCCTCTCAGCAACCGGGGCAGCAGCAGCAGCCTCCTCCGCCCCCCAATTCTTCGGGGCAGCCCCCTCCTCAGGCGCCGCCGCCTCAGCAGCCCGGCGGCGGCGCCGCCGTCTCCGGCCCACCCCCGGCCGGCCACCAGATCGTGCACGTCCGCGGCGACTCGGAGACGGACCTGGAGGCTCTCTTCAACGCCGTCATGAACCCCAAGGGCGCCAACGTCCCCCACACGCTGCCCATGAGGCTCCGGAAGCTGCCCGACTCTTTCTTCAAGCCGCCCGAGCCCAAGGCCCACTCCCGCCAGGTGAGCCAGGTTGGGGGTGGGAGAGAGAGAAACGTTCCTGTCTGGGTGTGGGTGGGGTTTTTTTTGGGGGGGGATTATGATATTATTAAAAGTTCTTGTTTTTATTTTATTTGTTTGTGCCCCGCCTTTCCCCTCCCCCCCCACAAGGACTCAAGGCGGCTTACAAAAATCTGTCTCAAAAACAGCGGCGGGGAATGGGTGGGAATCATTTAAAAGCGAGCAAACATGGGTAGGATCAAAAGCTGTAATAGCTATATTTATTTGTAGAGAAAGGGCTGTCTTCTGCTTACACACCACTTATTGAAACCCCCCCCCCCCAATAAAATCTCACTTTCCATAAACTTTTGTCGGCTGCCTTTGAATGGGCTGCATGGAAAAGGCTGTATTTTAAGAATAAAGTTGTTAAGAACAATAATAGCGACACGCTCTCTTTCTCCCTCCCCTCTTTCTTTCTTTCTTTCTTTCTTTCTCTCTCCCTTCTTCACACCTCACCATGAACTCCAGATAGGGAATAGTTTTTTTGTTGCAGTGTAACACTGTTAGGGGTCTACTCAGAAGTAAATCTCACTTAGTTTCAATGGGTCAAGCCACCTGAAGGGGGAAGGGTAGAGCAGCCTTGCCTATGACCCGAGTTCTGTGTTTCATTGGGG